AGACGGGACAAATAAGAAAGGAGGGACAAATAAATCATCAGTCAGCACGTCACTCCTTCACTTGAATCCTGCATCCACGTCAATAACATTACATAATGGAGACAGGCAGGATGTGTACACTCAGAGCCAATGTAAGCATTCAATAATAAAGTGCATTTGGTGGAATAAGGGGCAGAAGTTTCATGTTGGAGCGAGTTAATTTATCTGCAGGATCTTCCTTCCTTTGGCCTTCCAGCTTCCTTACCCAACTTCTTCCTCCCCACCCTTTAATCCCCCTATTCCATCAAATCCTGCCACTCCCAATCATTACCCCACCCCAAAACCCCTGTAAAACACTCATGGATACGAAGAAACACTCACACACCCACCAACACAGAAAAATAAACATCATGGCATGCACAGACATTTTTATATCTGACTCAAATCAAAAGCATTTTAAAATCGCACCCTTCTGCTTGTGCGGTGTTTGAACTGTGGAGCCTTAATATAAAGAAAGGCAAAGAGAAGGAAGTGGGTCAAAGGTTTCAAGGTGTGGAGCATAAGATGATTCACATGGGAACCAATGACATAATAGCAAATAAACATTTAACAACAGCAAGACAGCGAGGAGCACCCAGAAAGAAAGGAATATCCTGAGCCCAAGATAACGGTGTGAACTTTACTACATAAGCCCGACACATCTCTGCGTACCATCAATAACATTCATGTTGTTTGTTTAGTGTACCCATCTGTAAAAGGCCCAAACACATCTCCACAGTGAGAGCTATCAGCAGCATCTCTACAACCACATTCACTTCAAGTGGAGCCAAGTGAGACTGTTTGCAAAGAGCCAGGATGTCAGGGCATCAAAATCAGCAAAACACAAGAGTCTCTGTTTAGCCAAACGCACGCCATCCTGCTCACAGAATGCCCATCATTCTTCTCAACGGGAGAGATGGTGCCACTCAAGATCTATTAGGAGTGGACACTGGCAAAGTGAGCAGCAGCCTTCGCTCCTCCAGTACCAACCCCTCAAACTCAAAATCAGAAAGCTACAGCACTGTAGCAGCACCACCACCAGCAGACCCCATGGACCACCAGACTATGTTTTAACACAGTTTACATGACGACAGTCATTTATTATTTGTTCGAAACGGCCATTGAACAGTTCTTTTCTGAAACACAAACTGTATTCATGCAATGCCATCTTTTTCAATCAGCAGTTAGGGTTAGGGTATGTATAATATCAGTGAATTATTAATAGTTATTTAGGTTTAAAGGTTTTAAATATTCATGGATGTGAAATGCACATGAATTATGAATGAATACAAGGAGTCAACAGTCCAGCTCTATTATAAAATGATGCATCCATGACCTCACATTTTGTCCCTCAAAGCAATCTTGCATAAATCTTAAAATGCAATTAAAAATGTCACGCCCAAATGTTTAATGTAATAATTTTATTGTAATAAAACAAATACATTCAAAATGGATTGTGTTAATTACTCTTTCGAGAGTTCAGAGTTGCTGGGGAAGAGGAGAAACACCTGCTCGCAGCAGTTGTTCAGGCTGTTTGGGTCCTCCAGAGTCATCGCTGCATCCTCCTCCGTCCTGCTATCTCCCTCTAAAGATGTCTGCACTCACCAACATGCTGCAGCTGGACATGGGAGGAGGTTGTAATACTTTGGCATGTTTATTTTAGAGCTTGTCACTGCTGTTATCAATAACAGATGTCTTGTATACACCAACACTATTATCCTCCAACACGTTACAATGTTGACATGAATATTAAGGGTTTTCCCCTATATCAGCAAGCGCACGTAATTGTTCATTTGAGCGGATAGGATAAGGAGAGGATAACAGGTGAAGTGAGTTACTTTATTTCTTGCTAAACAGCTGCTCTGTTCAGTTTGAGTCCCTAGCTGGCAAAGAGATTCACTTCTTTAAATCTCTCCTGCTGGCCTAAAGCCTAACCTGTTATTATTGCCCTATGAAAAATATGTCAAGAAAAACAAATAGCTCTAACGATTTTTTTTTTTTTTAAATGTCAAACCACAGTCCATGCGTTGTACAAATTCCTGTAGATGAATCACATTTTGTGATCACAATGGATGCCATGTGTTATTATGCAGTTAGATTTTCTCCCCTAGTGTTGCTTTCATTTTTCCTTCCCGTAGGTCCCCCAGCTCTTTGCTGTGGGTGTGTAGATGTTTTGGTTGGAGGACATTTACTGCAGTGGCAAGTAGCGGAAATATCTGTTTATATTAGAGGTAAAGTGGTTCCACTTTCATTGCTGTTGTAAACATTTTAAGCATATTTTGTGGGCTCCGTGTATAAAAAAAAATACCAATAAATGACGATGTTCATACAATGTGTTGGGAAATGCTCTCCGAATCTTTTTCTTTGCTCTTGTAACTGGAAAATTGTAAAAGTTGTCACTGTTGGGTAAATTCTTGCACATATTGCATTTCATTGCATCCAAATGTCGGAGGGTCTAACTCTTGGATGTGAGGGTCTTGTACCTCGGTTATTCCTGTCGTTGGCTTTAGAATAGGAATTGCTCAAAATACAAAGTGTTGAAGTCATTTCTCCCCACAGCTGTAGTAAATACAGTAAGTCACAGTCAAACTAAAACATGTGCTCCACTTGGCAATTTAAAACCCAAAGGGAAAAAGATTATTCTTTCACGCACACAAATACAACAAGTCACCCCGGACCAACCATCAGCGACATAATTCAGTGTGACCTGCCTCTGATCGACTCTAAACTAGGATAACTCAAGCTGACTTCTGTGTTGCCTCCAAATGCCTGCGGCCATGGTATAAAACTCCATGAGGTGGTGTTTCCTCATTGGAACTGTGCAGGAAGTTGCATAAGTTGTGTTGTCTGGTTTTTTTCTGGGATTTTTGTTAACAAGCACTTAGTCTTCATGCAAACACAACCCAGGAAGAGCTTTACTTTTCCTGCTTATTGTAACTGCTACTCAGGAGATGAAATATGGTAATAACACATTCAATTTAAGATAACCTCCGTCTAGTTCAATCCAGTGTCCAGGTTTTTTGATCACGGGTGGGCCAGAGAGCAAACCCTCCACCAAACATGTAGCTGTAGCACCACTCATGTTCACTAGACCTTCAGCACACATTCTACTTCACATTGACTTCAAGTCAGAGCAGGCATCTGTAGGACCGGCATACACCTCAAACAAATAGTGTTCTTGAATTACCTCCACATGAAAAGCTTATTTCCAAATACAATACTGTATATATTGCTGCCATCACGTTTCAACCCTCTGACTCCACTTTTGGTGTGTTTGATGTTCTGACTTGCAAAGTTCCTGCTCAGATACTCAAACACTGCTGTATGTTATTAAATATGATTTTCAGTGTATCGAAGTTGTCATGAATTGTTGTTTTTAGCGTTTCTGGTTAAACCCCTAAACCCACCTTCTCTGCATCCTCCCAGTTAGTGATATCTGAGAGTGCATTTCAATAGTAACAGCAACAACAGAGCTTTTTCGCAGCAGACATTTTGATATTTGACAAGAAAATCACAGGTTTAACTAATATAATAATTAGATAAATGATGCCTGTGTTCCTTTTAGGCATCCCAGTAAGCCATGTCACTGAGTCAGTATGAAAAATATCTGGGCCCTGGATCAGACACGAGAGAGGAATGCATCTGCAATTAATGATATAAACTACACAAGTGCTTTACCTGCTATGACATGCCAAACGAGTCTATCCTTGGAAAAAAGTAAAAGGTTGTTCCCTTATGTCAAATGCAAGATGTATTGTGGCTGTGTTAGCTCCGGCTCGGCTAATTTGTCCATTAGTGGAGAAATTTGCATTTTCTACAATTCATCTGTATGACGTTTAAATGTCTACACTGAACTACTTTTTTTTGATCTTGATTCATAATTTCCACCTTTAATCCAAGAGTTCCAGACATCTAAAATTCTGCCCATTGATCTGATTCTTTCAGAGATTCAAATCACTCTGTTGTGCTCAAAGACGACTCTGAAAGACGTTTCCCTGGTTGGAAAACCCACCGAGCACAATCACACTTTAGGAGGCGGGACAAACATTGAGGACACCTCCTTCCTGTGCCACAGCCTGAACAAAGGTGACATCAAACTGATGCAAAAAAACTCTTAAATCTGCATATTTCTTCAATTGTCACAAAAAAACATAACTGCAAGCGACTGCCACCATAACTGAAGATGTGAAATAAGTGAAAATGACATTGGCAGGAAGAATGGAAAAATTGTTAGTAAATTCTTGTGAAAACAGATAACGTGGACAAGATAAGAAAGTTAAAGCGAAAATGCAAGTAGTGATACCTGTTTTTATTCCAAGGAAATAGTTCCTATGATGACACTTGTGTTGTGACATTGTTTCTAAAAAGACAACTTACTGGTAATTTCAGTGTAATTTCCAATGCTGTAACAGGCACAAACACAATCCTATTCACCTCCATTGTATTGGGACGGAGGCAGAAATCCAAGTGGCAGATATCTGAAAAATCAGACAAATCTAAACCAAAACTGTCTGCATGGCTATGTACAGGGTTAGGTGAGAAAATAGTATTATTGTTATCAATCTGAATGGAATCAATTTGGATGGAACTACCATATAAAAGTACAGAAATAGCACATTTGTTGGTGACTATTTTCAGATGTCACATCCCTGCCAGAGGGATCAAAGTGTCCGGTCACAAGCCGTGTTGGAGAAGCTTATGTCATCACTGCTGTTCAGCACATGGGCCGCTGAGCTGCTTTATAATAGATGATTTCAGATCCTCACTCAGGGGACCAGCGTTATCGAGAAACCTTTAGATATATTAGCATGACAAAGGTGTTGTGATATTATCTGCCGCATGGTTTATTTGTACTTTGATCGTTATCTTTCCGCACAAGGATCCCCTTATTAAAGTCGTTTATTTCATTATTAACAGCATCTCGCATCTTAAGAGTTTTATAATTTTATTTATATGTTCATTTGTTTGAAATACGATCTGAGAATATTTGACGCCCAAAGATTGATAGTTTAGAAGAAATGATGAACATCCGTACCTCTGAAATTATGTTTATTCAGCAGTCAATATAGAATGTTAGATAAAACATTTTTTGGCACAGTTGCTTAATGATAATAAGCTGTCCCGTTTCTATGTGGTAATCTAAATAAATATGCAAGACCATAATTTACTTCCCAAATAAATACAATATAAACTACAATAAAGATGCACCGCATCCACGCCCCACACTGCACCTCCTCAGGAAAAACAAAACAAAAACATAATTTATTGTACTTCAGGTAAACAGTTTCAACGGGTCCAACCAAATAAAGATTGTCAATGGTGGAAAAACTTGCTTCATAATTCACTTAAACAGCTTATTTTCAACTAAAACTCTACCAGGCAAATCAACAAGGAGGCATCTGACGGGCCAATAGAAGGCTGTACTGCGGGCTTTTGATCGTAGGTTTTACAGATGGGTGCAAACACATTTCCAGATCTAGACTCTACGTCATAGTTTTCTGCCAGCAAGAAAAAAACATGCCACTACACATCACTAAAACCATTTTTCTCCTTCACACATGAGCCTCAGATTAGCTAAAAGTGTAAACGTTCATAAATTACACCCAGAGACAGTATCAAAGAGGTTATATCACCTGGAACTCGAGACAGTAAGATGTTTATGAAAAGTTTGAGAATTCGTCATGCGTGTTGAATTGACTCGGTGTGTTTTGGCATATCTTTAAGGAACATAATTCCAGAGGATTATGGGTAATTACAATAATGGGTTATTTGGGGAAAGTATAAAAAGACTCAAAATGACAATTTCTTTGCATGTGATAAGTTATTGTTTGCACAGCAGATGGGATCCATTTTCATGTTCTATTACTTAAGTGAGAGTCTTTATGTGTTTTGAAACAGGCCCTCATTGTTATTCAACACAACATCAGTATACACAATAATTAAAAGTGGGTTTCAAACCTGGAGCTATAGAAAAGGACTTTCTTTCCTCGTCAAATTCTTATCAATGACACGTACTCTCTTACCTGTGTAATAACACTGCAATCAGTAACAGCAATACAAGCACGGACACAGGTCACAGGGTCATGACCCCTGACAACAACAACAACTTAACACACCTTTAAGTCAACATACCTTCTGGAGACAGCTGATCACTAAACATCACATTATGTCAATGGTCCAATAGTCTGGCAGAACCTAAAGTAAACATAGATTCATTTAATGTATTTCGTTTTATTTATGGCTTTGAAATTTGTTTTTAAACAATTTTCCTTTTGCCTGGAAGGTGATATACTGTCACCATTAATGTAAACTACAAGAGTTGGACTTCCTGAAGTGAAAGCGTCCCTCACGGCTCATCTATCACATGTAGCCTACTGCTACTCAAATGTCATATCACAAACATAACGTTGCTACATTGTTGTTGCACCACAGTTTACAGTGTTACTAGACAGATAGAAAAGATAACAAAAACGTTTTTCTTATGCACAGTCATTTTCTGTGACATGGAACCCGCATAAACACAGCGCTTCCATGTGATTCGCCTCCAATTTGCATTGACAGACGACCAAAATAAGTCAAGCCAGCCTGTCACAAAAAGGCCGCTGTGGAGCAGCCTGAAACATATCCCCATCTTTTTCCTCTCTTTCTTGAGTTTATATTCCATAGTTTGTCTTTCAACAGCGTTCATGTTCAACTCTTCCAACAGAGGCAGAGATGCAGCATGAAGAAGTCCATTTCTCTGGGTCATACACACCCACAGTTCTTCGCCGAGACATTTTGTATCGTGTGATAGCGGCTCTTGTTGTCCAGGAAGGAAAAGTCCTTTTCGAAAGCGATGGGTCGGCAGCAGGGCCTGTTGCTTACTTTGTCTTTGCGACCCTTCTTCCTGAAGCCAGTCCGCATCATGTGCTCCATGGTGATGTCGTAGTTTTGCCGGTGGGCCGTGCATTTGCCGCTGCAGTAGCGCAGCATCACTGTCTCGTCGCTCTCATAGCCGAGACCCAGTTCACTCACGGTCAGCTCCAGCTCCCTCAAAGAGCAGGGCTTAGGCCTCCGGGCTCTCTTAGTCCTTCGGGCCTGGTTCTCACCCAGGCTCTTCCTTCTCTTCCTGTCGAGCAAGGTTTCGACCACATGCTGAAGCTCGCCCTCTGTGAAGCTCTGGAACATCATGGAAACTGGCAGAGAGGAGGTATATATAGACAGGTGAGACAGGGGTTATCTGATTGTGGGACAATAATCAGAAGTGTTTCACAGAGATAGCACAGGCTACTGTAGTTGGCAGGATAATGAAAAGCTGCGGCTCGTGCAAACAGCAGAAGAGCCGTTTATTTTATCTGGCATAATGGCAGTAACAAACTAGTCTTATCACTGTCAGCAATCAAGAGTTAGAATTCCTTGACGCCTATGTAATTCGACAAATGCTACTCAATGAGGCCGTGTGAAACCAAAGGGAACAAGCAGGGAGATCAGCATCTCCTGAAGGCTAGAATGGTTCAGAGCAAGTAAACTATGAGGTTACTGTGAGACATTAAAACCTGCTCTATATACAACAAAGTCAAGGTACTAAGTGTCCTGTCTGAACCCCAGGCGCCCTTTTACACGACACCTCATCTCAGACCAGACAAGGAAGGAAGACAATAACAGTTTATCTTACACTCCGAGAGGAGAGAGTTCATCTCGTCTGCTGAGCGGATTCTCCGATGAGGAGCACCCATCTGCCGGGACAACGCCGTCGATGCGGCTGATGACGGCGATGGCGGTGAGGTCGTGGATGTCGATTGCGAAGATGACGTCGGTCTTGATGAGGATGAAGATGTGTACAGGTATTTTGTCTTCGGTTTGAACTGTCCGATAGTGGCCGTGTTTTTAACGCGGAGGATGGACAGGGCTGCGCCACAGAGCATGAAGGCAAAAGTAGCACCTTTCCATAACTTCATCTTAGAACGTGGAGGAGCATTGAAACTCTGTTGGGGGAGGCAAAACAGACAAACGTCAGACATGTTCAAACAGTCACACCTCCAATCATGTAAACAATCTCCTCAACTTGTCACATTAAAGCGCAGAGAACAAAGCAAAAACTGTTATCTTCCGTGCCATCACATTTCTTTGACCTTTCCCGGGGATCCACTTCTCTCACCAGGGCTTTTATTTTACCGGCAAGTTTACTTTTTCTGATTCTGCTGTCAGCTCATTTTCACTTTAAGTGGGTTCATGATCCGCGAGCTTGACATCTCTTGCTGACATATGAGAATGCAGTGTGTGTTTAATCGCGGCTGCCTGAAAAGGAAAAAACTACAATTTCTTATTTGAACTGAAGGCAGGCTGGATTAGTTTCGCAACCTCTTTCCCCTTGAAACCTTTTGAAAGTGTGTACACCATTTCAAAAATACCGAATGTGAATATAAGCTTCTTCTCTTCATTTCTGAAGAAAAACTTCCTTTTCTTTGCAGAGGTAAATGTTCCCATGAACCATCCTTTTAGAGGAGGGAAGTCCATTCCTTCCTTTACAGGAACCACACCTATTTACAATGCTATGTAGGATGAGGCCTGAGTGAACATGTGTTTGTACATCCCTATATTTTATACCGCCCCTCCCTTTCTATAGACACTGCACCACAGCAGCCACAAAAACATATCTTATGTTTTCTCTCTCAGGTTTTTGAGAAGTTTTACAACCTCATTTCTTTATATTTTTTCATATCATGTCACCAGTGAGCAAAACATTTCCCAAGAGCCGGAAACGCTATACTGGCAGTGACTAACAGCAAATCCAGACCAGCCTCACAAAGTGTTTTGCCAGACTGGATTCTGTAGTGTACGTATACGGGCTGTGTTTACAATGGGACAAAATGTCACATATCTTGGTAGAGTTTAGTATGGAAACAAAAAATCCCAAACGTTTATCAAATTTTGGTTTTCTGGTTGAACTTAACCTTTTGCAGTCAAGTAAGTAAAACAAAAACAAAGAACTATATGGAAATTGAGAGTGTCTGTCTGTGTCGGACACCGCAGAGGGAAAAGTCAAAGAGGTTGCGCGCATGAGTTGCAGTGGTATAAACAGCGTATAAACAGGTATAACCAGTCCTATTAGTCAAAGCTTGACTCATCACTCATAATTCCATATGGGTTTGACGTGGTAAGCTGCCTCCGCACGATGAAGGGGTAGAATGTTATTCATCTGAAAGTCAAACATTTCAGCTAACAACCTCATCTGACATAGTCGATGTGGAGCCGCGGCTGTTGCAGAATGTGACTCGGTTGCACAGCTATACAGTGTGTCAGATGTTCCTTTCTCACTGTCGTACTTAATCACCAGACATGATAGATAGAAGCCTCGATGGAAAGTCTCCTTTTGTTTCTGTTGGTTCAACACCAACTCTCGACACCAGAACACTTGCTGCTCCTGCTCTCGATTTACTAAATTTTCAATTAAAAATGAGCCATTTTGTTGTGATATATGACCAAGAATGAGATCACTGTTTTCTTATGTTACTAATAGCTCAGTTTGAGACAATTACTCAGCCACAGAGTTAACAGTTTCACACGGCCATAATAAATCACTGTCTTTGGCCTGTTAGCTCTGTTGCTCATCTTGATAAGACAATTAGCTCGCAAAGAACAGATAAGTCCTCCGATGTCTCAGTCCCTCAAACACTGGACAAAGCCTGGTCATCAAACACCGATCTCATGTCCTGAAGACTCTTTGATTGTCATAATTACTCCACTCAGAAACACATTAGTCCCATCTGCAGTCGATTGCCGCCAATAAAAGTGACAGTGATCATTGTGTAGGTTGCTCAGATGGTCCCGGATGATTAATCAGTAGAGACATTTAATATCTACCACTGGCCCCCCACTGTCATGGACATAAATATACGGATATTGATGGGGGGGAAGGGGCACCAGTGTTTTCTTAGAAGAGCAACGGAAAGACACGAATGAGTAGTCGACTTCCTGAGAGGACAAATGCTGCTGTTTTCCAGCAAACAGAGCAACAACGCAGAGGATATAATGGACCCCCAGAGGACTCTCCAGCAGAAGGAAAAGCCATCCTCAAACTGAGACATAAAAGAGCAGATGAGTCGCAAGGACAACTAAAACAGCTCCTACACAAGCGAAACATGTCTGCCCCTCACAGAGCATCAGTGTTGATGTGCCCATGCGAGCTCCTGTGTGTGTGGAGATAAGGCCGCTCCAACGTGTGAGGCCCAAAACAAACGGGAAACAAATGTTTTATTCACAAGGAGAAAAGACAGACAAAGCTTGCGGGCATGAAAGTTCTCATTAGGATTTTGTCTTTCTAGTGAGAGTGGGAGGGAGTGTGAGGTAAGAAATAGTAGGCATACACCTGATGTTTACTGTCAGCCTTATGTCACCTGAAGAGCTCCCAGCAGAGTGAAAGCAGTCCCAGAGGATCATTAAGTTGTTTGAGGCAAACCATGAAAGTGAAATGCTTTGCCAAGAATTCCTCAGTCTGTCAAAGCCATTCCTGAGACATTATGTATTCTCCAACGCATGCAGCATCGTACGGTTGGAGCCCGATCCTCAAGCAAGCTCTTGTTGTGACTCAAAGATCGCATTATTTCAAATGACACAATAAAATTGATGTTTCCAAGGAATAATTGGGTCAGTGGCGATGGCATTGCTAAGCTGGCGGTAATGTAATTACAGCAGCATGGCACTCGTGTCCTCCCCTCCGTCCTATGCTAGAAGGAGACACTCAACAGAATGCCACAGCCTAAGAGAGATGAACTGGAGATCTGTCAAAATGGGGATAAGGGGCGTCTGTGGTTAACACTTTTGAATGAAGCCGGCGGACAGGGGGGGCCTTCTTGTCAGCTTGCTTGGATGTTCACCAGCGTGACAAGATTACAGCGAGAGAAGATGACAGAAAAGGAATGAATGAAGAGCGTCTTTGTGCTGGAAAAAAAGCAGATACAAACTTTTATGTCTCACCACTCTGTATAATTTGTTACTGTACATTCCCTAAATACAGTCTGTTCTGTCTCTCTCGCCCTCCCTCGCTGTGACTCACACATACCATAAACACGCACCAGCAGCACTTGCATGGTTTCACTTTTCCCAAATTATATGACACGGGTCTGTGTAGAAATCGATACAAAGTCTAACCTTCCATTGCAGTCCAGACACCCACTTCACCTCCAGGGCGCACACACGCTCCCAGCAGCACCATCACACAACACTAGATAATCCAGTTTACATTATACTACTGCTTTTTGATATCTAGAAATGTCCACCGGTCTAACCATTGTGTATTTGCCTCTGCACAACCCGAGGCCTCTAGCTACAGAACATTATTACCACGCTGTGTTTTAGCTCAGCTCCACCCATGTGACCGGCTGTCTCTGCGCTACTCTGAACACACCCCATAAATACCTGTACTGAAAAGATAACAGAGGAGCACAACAAACAGCGGGAAAGGCACCTACTGTGTTGTTCCAAGGAAACAATGTGCAATAGGGAGTCCTAGAGAGGCCTTGTCTTGTCTTTTCCCTCTTAAGTGAGCATCAGGAGGCATGGGGACAGCTAGAGAGTGCTTGGGGAGGTAATAGGGACATATTCCAAAGATCAGGGCGGGATTAGCACTAATGCCTGCCGGCTTTATCTGCAGTCACGTGGGTTAACACCTGGCTGTAGTGTTGGTGGCGGAGCATGGGCCTTGCTATATGTGTGTGTGTGTGCGTCCGTGTTAATCCACCAGACACCTCTAACTCAGGGATTAGGTCAGCATGCACGGCCCAGCACCAGCAGGCGCTTCTTCTTCTTCTTCTTCTTCTTCTTCTTCTTCTTCTACTCTTACCTCTAAAATCTGTCCCGCTTTCAGTCAGAATGATGAGGTGGAAAAGTGACGAGTTCGGTTAGTTAGATCTGTTGCGTTGGCACCAGGGTGGGCCAAAAAGGCTGTGAAATAAAGTGGATGTTCTGAGCCAGGATTGGCTGTTCTAAATCCAGCCTTGGTTCTAATGCAGCTGAAAAAGGCTTGGTTCTGTCACTCAGTAATTAAAAGATAATTAAAACAAGCCTGTTGCTTGTTAGCGAGAAAAGCTGCTGTTCAATATTGGGAAGAAATAAAAGGGGAAAATCTGTGGGCAATGCCAGAAAAACTGTGATAATTTTTACGCACATTCTATAAATTCTCAACAAGATTCCTGCATCCTTTTAATCTACTGGACGAGTGGTTAAAGAGATTAAATTTGATTGTGGAAGCTCTACTATCACATTCCACAGATTTATATGGATTAATCCAGTGACCCGACAGCCGAGCACGGAATCTCACAAGTCAAGCCTGTTGCTGCTGGCGTGGCGTTAATGAGGTGTGATTGGAAGATGCACTAACAGATGCACATTTGAGTCCCAATTTGTCTGCCCGTTGCTATTCCTAGAAGAGTTGAGTCAAGGTATAGTTCTGACATGCATTCAAACAGCCTTTCTAACAGACAAAGAGGTTGCAAGAGGCTTGGCAGGAAGACGTCAACTTGCCTCATCATTTATGTGTGAGCCGTTAGATTGATGATTGTTGTCTTGGCTACTTTCTAAAGAAGAGTCCATAAGCTGCTATTCTTGCTGCTAATCTGTCTATGCCAGATCCTCTATTAACACAGCAGCATCGCCTTTAAACCCATGTTAAACACGTTGATGCTACTGTTACAAAAGCTTGACTGCCATCTGGCACATGCTGAATACCACTTTTGAATATGACCTACGCGAGCAAGCACAAGCAAGTACAAACATCTGAAATATGATGACATTTTACGTGTTTATAAGCCTATGCTCTCCTCAAACTACTAACATATTAATTATTTTCATGCACGATGCATATTTTGGCAAGGATCTGATGAATGAATGCTGATGAGACAATGAGGAGTGGTGCAGGAGTTCAGCTTCCCCTTCAGTCTCCTCTAGTTATGACCACCTTTGGCAGGTTATGACAGCTGAACCGCTCAATTGACTTCAGGCTTAACCCCTAACCGGCCTCTTGTGGCTCCGCTGGATACAGTATAATCTCTAAGTATGATATGGGTTTAGTGAGAAGGGGATCATCACTTCAGTAAAATGCCCACAGTGAGTATCATCAAGTTTGCTTCTCTCAGAGTACCTTCATTATATTTTCACATCACAAGTTCAGCAATTTGATCCAGCTCCTCTTAATTATTTAAACTTTAAAGGCGCAGCTCTGCAAAATGTGTTGATCTCTAAAACGATGAACACAGAGGATCATGATTATTTGAAATCATTATTTCATAAATCGGTCAAAGTAGTGCTCCAACTTCTGGGAAAGGAAAGCCAGAGAGTATCGGAAGAGCAATTACGCATGGTAATGAGGTGAACCACCATGTTGGATAAGTGACAGGAAAAGAAAATATTCCTCCCTGTCAAAAGTAATTTGTATGTGTGGGGAGAGCTCTTTTAAATTCTTGACGAATATTATTCTAATAATTCCTTCATGTTGCCACATCGTGGCATGACCTTGTAAATCAATAGTAACTGCTCTGCTAACATTTCGTGACAGGCGGCTCTGCGCTATTGACATGCGGCTCCAGCAAGGACCGCTTGTTGACACAGATAATCCAACGTGTGTTTTCTGCCACTCAAGCACTTGGTGAGGCATCCCTGTCGCCTTCCCCATAAGCTGCAGGCTTAAACTGAAAAGAAGATGTGGTGTCCTTACCGTTCGGCGTGCTAATCCAGACTTAGCTGTGTGGAGTCGTCTTCAGCTGACCTCCACAGGCAAGTGCTGGCTGGGTAAGTCCATCATCATCATCACAGGCGAGAAGCGAGGGCAGGACTCCTGCTTGTTCTCCAGAAAATCATCACAACTCCCTGCGCCTGCAAGTAGGGGAGGTGTCCTGGCTTGAATCGGGTCCAGACTGTATTATTCTTTTATCATATTTGCATTTCCACAGAACCCTTTCAGGTTGCAAAGATCAAGATCAACATTCCTCTGGATGTAAGCGTGAGCTTCATGGCACTCAGGTTGATCCATTCACAAAGAGGAGAGTCGAGTGTTTAGAGAAGTCCCGGACGCGGCATCGGGTTCACTTCAGAAAGCTTCTGTCATCATTCTTCAACATACAAAACTTCTTGTCTTCCTTTTTGCACAAACCTGAACCTGAAACAGATCAGAGCACAACAGTGTGATGTACAGATCGTACTGAAGCCTTAACTCTTATCCCATCTGTGGTGAAACTCCTTCCACTTGGGATCATTTTATCTCCAGACCACAGCACTGTTGGAAAGATAATGCACATCTCCTTACCCCATTTCCAGCAGCATGTCTTCTCTTGAGCTCCAGGGAGGGGATCTCTGTGGGTTGAGAAGATGGGTTAGGGTGAGGAGGGAGAGCGTGGTTGTGGTAAGTGGAGCAGAGAGCTTCTCTGATGCCTCTGCCTCCTGCCTCGCCTCCTCAACTGTTGCTCCTCCTCCTCCATAGTTGTGCCTGTGGGCCGAGTCGGATTACTCCTGACATGATAATCTCCCTGGCTCTAGCTCCAGGAGCACTAAAGGATGCTTTGGCCTGAGCGAAGGCTTACATTTACCTTCTGCCACAAGAGAGTCTGCCATCTTAAGTGGGCGATTGGGAAGATCAGAAGGGTCTGCTGAAGCAAGTGTTTTCCAATCTTTTAGCAGGAATTAAGAAAGTTGACAATTGGTTTAAATGGTGCTAAGACAACACTAAACCAAGTTAAATGGAATTATCACAGCAGAGTTGTATAGTACAGCCGGCTTGAGATAAAACCAGGGATGTTGTTGTTGAAAATCTCACGTTCACGTCCCCTCCATTACAAACCAGTATTTTAGCCCTTGAGCGGCAAATGAGGAGCAGATGGTTGTGCTTTTGGAAGGTATCAGGCACTCCAGACTGCAATCTAAATAAATACTCCATCCATGGGAGAAATGCGTCAGGTGTGTGGGGTCAGTCATATTTAAACAAAGGCCAACGAGTGTGAAGCAAAGTGAAGCGATGCATGAGGGAGAGAGACGAGGGAGATACACAAAGTCGTACATGTGCTTTTAGGGAGCATACACCAGTCACATAAATCTACCGGTACAATGTGGATTTAAACAGAAATTGATGGTTTTAGAATTGTGTCTGCAGCCAAAGATGTTGAAATTAAGCAGGAAGTCAGCATTACAACAGGAAGCAAATAATGTTCTAACAAACATCCCATTCTAATGCCATGAGTCATTCTGATATCCTCGGGCCAAACTATACACAAACGCTTTGCAAAGGTTCACTAGCGAGGCGGAGATGTGGAACAAGCGCCAACTTTCTCGGACTTCCTTAAATCTCCTTCATTGTGAGAAAAAGGGAAAGTCCGAATACACCAAAAAATGTGTATTGATGGATATTCTAAGGTTGAAGGGACGCCAACACAAACTCTCCTCTTCACTTAAACCCGTCAGCGCTGACCTGAAGGGTAACACTGTGCGACAAATCATTTGTTCTCTTCTTCACATTGAGACTATTTTGGTCAGCAGGTGCAAATTCATCCAGATCCCCTCCCCAAAAAAACTAAGAAAACATGAGAATTATTACAACTAACTTGTTTGACATACCCATCATTTACATGCAAGAGGGGACTATGTAAATGCATAACGACTTCCAGTTAGCAGGGGATATCGTGCTTTTCTAGCCTTGAAAAGGAACTATCAGCACAGAAACATTTCCTGGATTCCAGGAACATTTGTACTCTATACATATTGTTCACAGATGTGATACGTTTTCATAGACCAGCCTCCACTGCAATAAAAGACAAACAGCTGTTAATTGGTAAACCAAGTCAGAAACAATAAGTGTGAAACACTTTATCCGATCCGTATACAATGCAAAGTCTCACTCGACAGCTAAGATTCGTCATGAAGGCCGTCTGACACTCAGAATATACAAGAGAAGAAGAAAAAAAAACAGCAGAGTATGTTTCCAATTTCAATATGATAGAATCCTTTATACATCGGATTGAATCTTTTTTCCACTGGGTGTGGATGAGTGAAGAAACACATTTTGTTTAGGTTTGGGCAAGATTTTAAGGAAGCCCTCAATCAGTTACACTATAAACACACCATTCCAGTGGAGGTGTCATTAGAACGGCTGGAAATAAGGCACAAATGTTGCTACTACGCTAGTCTTGCACAATATGTGGTTTGATGATTGGACAAGTAGCCTTCAGCCAAATGTCATCTCAGAGAATGGAAAACTACTTTTTAGAGAACCCAAATCTAAACAGGCATTTGTGAAAAAGATGCAGTGGGACAATGAGGGCTTCTTTCTGAACGTTGCATGTTGAAAGACAATACCTCTTTCTTGGAGAAAGTGGTAACAAGGTAAATCCATCCTGGCCAAAGAACAAATATACATTGCAATTTGCAGTTGTGACCAGATGAGCTGAGCCAGGAGTGCAGAGGCCACTGGGGTTTCAAAAAAAACCTGTGTGGGGCCTGTGTGAGTTCTGAGCCACTTTTACTTCAGCGCTTAAACACCCCAGTTTGTGTAACAATTTGTACCTCCAGCTAATATGTGTTGTACTCTATTTACATGCTTTGCAGTGTATTTACCTCCTACGCAACTACAGCTTGACAAGGACAAAGTGAGTGTTTAAAATAACACAGCTGTGGACACAGCTAAATGCTGCCCCCATCTGCCAGTTGTTTACAACTACATGTAGCCCCCAGAGTAATAAATCTTTCATCAATAGAGATTCCAAAAACTTAATATAGCTTCTTTTTTTTTCGTTTAATGCAAAAATGATTTTATTTCCTTCTTCATCTCATAAGATATGTTTGCATCTTGTTGCTCCAGACATCTGCCTCTGTTATTCAGCACAGGTGGTGTATACTTCCAAGGGAGCGTTTGAGCACTTCATGGTGCGGCGGCTTCCCTCTGCTGTGAAAGCCCCTGGTGCCGTCAGGGCCGTAGGGCTGACGAAGCACTCTTTGCATCAAGTAAGACGCATTCCTGTGCCGAGCCACCTTGGGGTTTAATGCACTGGCTGCAGATTTGCGACTCAGCACCCAGGGGCTCTGAGAATTCTCATTATCACAATCTCCAGAGCACCAGCTCCTCTGACTGTACCTCTGATTCCAACCGGAGGAGAACTGGCTGTTATGGCTGGTGGAGATCTGCTCAAAGGTTCTTTGCATGGAATTATCCAAGGGCTTTTGGGGCTGACATGTGTCAGAAACTTTAACTGGCGCGGAGGGTTCCTCCTGGACTGGATCCTGTGAGGTTTCAGGTGGATTTTCCTGGGAAGGAGGGTCCTCAGGTTGGTCCTCGTTGTTTTCCTCTGATGGTTCGTCTTTGGTGACGTGGTGCATTGACTGGAATCCCAAAGGTACAACACACATGCCCTCACCGTTAGACTTTTTCTCCTCTGCTCTCAGGGCGTTGTAGGCCTTACGGACTTCGTCCAAATGATCAAACCTCACAACTGCACACAAATGTTGGCCGAGCTCTTTGTGACACTTGGCATAGCACTGCAGTTCATTGGGAAGCGTTTTACCAGGATACAGGATCCAGAGTGAAATAATACTGCCATAAGGGCTAAACTTCTGGAGCATACTCATGGAGAGGAAAGGTTGCTCCTGGTCTTGAGGCGCTGTGTGTTCTTCAGTTGTTGTCTTCATAGAAATGTTCCAGGCTAGGAGGTGCTTGCTGGTGAGGGAACACAGTAGCCATTGGGGAAGCGGCTCGATCCGCCTCACTATGGTGCATTCATCGTTCACCTCCAGAAGTTCTGAGGACTCTGCTGCTGCTCGAGTCGTGTGCCAGTCTGTGGTCAGGGCCTTTATCTGTGACAAACAGCAGCAACCTCAGCTTTGTTTGCATTTTACTGGGTTGTTTTTATTCAAACTGGGGGAATGTAAACACCACAGAAAGCACACAAAATCTTGCTATTGTTGGAATCAAAATGTAATTTTTTTCCTTTCTTATTTTTACCTTTTTTAAACAAGTGAGGAGCTTGAGACTGACGTAGTCACGCTTGTTCTTCTGCACATGCTTCAGCAGGAAGCCGTCCTCTGCCAGGTGGCTTTCAGACAGCAAATCCTCCAACTGCGCTTTAATCTTCAAGAAGAGCAACTCACCTTCACGGCCTTCTTCATCTTGGGCAGATTGTGCACCAACTCTACAAGAAACACACAACTCGGCGTCATAATGTACAATGCAATGCAATGTAGATTAGCCAACCATATGTTTTCTAATTTCCTTACCTAATCAGATTAGTCATGGTATCTCCAAAGGATAGTGATAACAGGTCACTGAGCTGTGCTGCTTCTTAGTAAAGTAAAGACGGGTGTTAAGGAGACGCAGCAGGCTTCATACAGTCAATACTACCAACTGTGGAAAAACTGCACCTGGACAAGAGTTCATATGACGACAACGATGTCAGTTGGTTCTGTGGGATCCAAAACAAAACTTTGTAAAATGCTACAAGCAAAATTCCACATTCCACAATACCACCTCTACCACTAATAGTGACTTGGACTCAAAATAAAGTTCAAAACATGTTAAAAAAAATAGGAAACACTGTCTCAAACTATTAACTAACATAAATATATGAACTGCTAAAATAAAGGTGCACTCAGAACAACAGAAAGAACAGCAGTGCATCAGTACAACACAAAAAAACATAATTTCTGCAACATGAGCACAGAGCACAATTAAATCAAAAGAAAATTATGATGTTGCTGGTTTCCCAAATACACAATATATACAGAAGCACTAAAGTATAAACATCTTGAGTAATTATCCCTAAATCCAGCTCTATATTCTGTCTGTGTGCTTTTGTCATCCTCTCCAGCATGTTACTGCAACAACAAATCCATCTGTTTGTTTCCATGTTTTAAACAACATCTTCGGCATATGTTACAATCACTACACTTAGGATAAATATACAAACCCAAACCGTTGCAGACTTTTCCACAGAAAGAGTAATTCCAACTTGTCTTTCCCGTTATCGTTTGACAGGCAGTTATTTAAGAGGCTGAGAGGGCTGCTGATGAAAAGCAGACTGGACATATATATATACAAACAAATACACACTATACTAAACACTATTTAAAAAAAATACTTCACCCTCAAAATGGCCATTTGTATTTCAATTACTCACCCAGTGTCACCTTGTGTTAAAGCGTATGAAGAATCAAAAAATGGAGAAAGATTCTTGATGAATTGAAGTAAAAACTCTCACATACTGTAAATCCAGCATAATCCAAATCCCATTTATCCAGTTGTATGCTCATTATTTCCCAAACGCATGAATCTTCGCTTAAACTGTACAATTTAAAACACATCTGCCTGTGCAAGTGCGAGACTAGTGTGAGAATTCAGGGTAACATAGGGAGAGTAACTGAAATACAAATGATCATTTTGGGGGTAAAGTGTAAATTTCGTGGATTCCCCGCAGTTATATGGCTCCGCTAACCAGTCAAGTTGCAGCGTACATCTATATTTGTCCAAAATGTCATCACTTAATTATTTTATCCTATTAGACATTTGTGTGAAATTGTCATAATTAGCATATGAATTATTGACTTGCGGCCGTGAATGTGTTTTGTGAGGTCACAGTGATCTTTGACCATGAAATTATAATCAGTTCATCCTTGAGCGTAAGTGGATGTTTGTGCCACATGTAATAACATTTGCTCGAGGGATTCATTCACGAGAATGGGACGGATGTACGGACACATCACACAGGATACAGTGGTCATGCATCAGGAACACTTTTTGGGCAGAATAAAAGTCAACGTCCCTGGAAACGAAGGCAGAAGCAGAGAGCTTCCTGGTTTCCCTCAGGGCGAAAGGCAAACGATGAAGGCTTTATCGTTGAAGAATTTAACCGTTAACATTTTGTTAACACGACAGGATCAAGAAGTGCATCACAAACCAAGATTTGTACAAAAACCCAATTATTTAACTTTATTAACATCAATGTTTTTTTTTTCATTTTCATCAACAGTTTCTTTTTAAATTCCAGTTCTTTGTCAACAAATAGAAAACAGACTGTGTGTACAACAGATCGAACCCCTACAGCACTAAGCATTCACAAGGTAAAAATGAACATTTTAGTTTTTATCGCCAGCGTTTTCAAGTCCCCCCTCCCTCCCACCACCGGCCTCCACCGCCACCACCACAATGTTTAGGCCTCTTGCGATTAGATGCTCTCCTCCTGCGGCTCAGTGTGGGAGCAGATGTGTGCTTGAGTTGTGCGATTGGGTGAAGAGTAGTCCATTTTAATGGGTGGGGTGGGGGGGGGGGGGGTTGTGCTGTTTTTCCTCATTCAGACGGACAACCAGCTGTCGAAGATTACTATGGTAGTACAGTAGATACAACGGTGTTTCCATTAATACACACTCTAGGACAGCAGGATCTCTGCAGTGCCTCTAGGTAGATCAGCGGAATTAATCCTTTTTAACAATATACCTTTGAAGCTGTTTATATATCTATGTGTAATTATACATATATATAATCAATATTTATAGTTCTATTTCTGTATAAAATAATATCAGGTTTCAGTCCAAAGGGCCGAGTCTCTTTCCCTCTGGTAGGAATGGTCGATTCTGTACAGGTGCCAGCATTGTTGGCTCTACTCCACAGCCCACATGAACCACTTCCACTTCTTTCGGTCTGTGTGGCTCAACTCCAGCAGGCTGACCAGACTAATGGGCAGCGAGGAGATGGGAGGGACTTGAAGAGCAACTTTATTCGGAAATCAGGAGAGATTATTTTCTGCCAACTAACCCTTCGGGTACAAAAGTCTGTTTTCCTCAGGTAAGTTCTCCGCTGTGGAGCATGAAGGCCTCAATGCCATAGGCTTCTGATGAAAAACAAAACAAAACACGTAGAAATCATGTGCTTTCCATTTCTGTACACCTCTGATTTAGTCTCTTGTTAGCTAATTCACTTCTTGTTTTATAAGTAGCTACCATGTCTACAGGCCAAACTTTCGCAAGTGTGTGCTCTGAAATCAATTTTCTCAAAGTTGATTGTTTTTTTTGTTTTTTTTATCCATAACGGCAAGTGAAAAGGCAATTTTTTTTTTTTTGAGTTATTGAACTGAGTAAGACCAAACACAATATTTATGACACATACAATGAATAAAACAATAATGTCAGGTGACAAAAGAAATCTGACAGCAGCTCAGAGAACAGTGGTCCTCCTGTATTAGTATCTAGGAACATGTTAAAAATACATGTCCCTTGTGCTAAAGTACCCTAAAATAAGAATAAAAACAAAAAAAGTACCGATTATGAAAGTAATGCATGCCCCAGGCTGGGCAGTTTAAGACAGAACAAAATGTCTGATGTTAAAATGATTATTAAAACAACAAATATACTAAACAATAACATTTGACATAATGAATCATAATATTGACAATAAATTTAACAAAAAAACAGAGAGAGAGTGCTCTCTTAGTGCTACCAGTAGCCTTTGACAATCAGGGAGGTTTGGCTTCGACAGAGCAGAGAGGCGAACTGCCAATCTGCGCTGTCGTATCTGTACAAGTGTTGTCATATTTGTCATTGTCATTGTAATGTTTCTGTTATTATTTTTAAAGCAAAATCTCATGTCGTTGGATAAGTCGGCGTGGATCTCTGTGATTGGTTGAACCCCGTCTGCAAGCGCGTCCCTTTCTCCTCCCCTCTGGTAGCTGCGAGGGGGTCGGGTTTTTTTGGGGGTTCAAGTGAGTGGATGGTGGCTGAGATGGGACACTTGGCACACTCCTGAGAGGTTTGACCAGGCAGGCTGCTCGGTGGGAGTGGTTATGTTGCATAGTGGTCAAAGCTCCCCAGGTACTCCAATGCTGCCCTGTAGCACAACTGGTACTGGTCCTGGAGAAGAAAAGGAGGAGGAGGAGGAGGAGGAGGAGGAGGAGGACGACTCTCCGTAAAAAAGTCTCTAATGTATGCATGTCTGTAATATCACCTGTAATTTTACTACTCTGGTCTGCTCTGTACACACAGCATCTATTGCATGTCTGTCTGTCTGTCTGTCCCTCCTCGGCTCAACTTTACAGGTGTGTAGTTGAGATCAGATTGAAGTTAGAAGACGGCTGTGGAGGAAGTGGGGAAGCTACTTTTAAGCCCCTGGCCAGATTTGCCGTTGCGGATAATGTGATCACATGGCAAGATAGTCTCTACTTTAACCCTTTTGAAGTGTTTTCTTTTGGGGGGGTGGTTCCTCATCTCTCTAAGAAGAGAGTATGTTGGTGATGTATGCTGTGCAGATTGTAAAGCCCCTTGAGGCAAATTTGTAATTTTTGATATTGGGCTTTATAAATATAATCGACTTTATTTGACTCAATTATGGCTACATTTAGGCTAGCTAACCAATATGCTGTGTGCATTTTCATATTGAGCTTCAAGGTTTTCAGGTGACATGGCACAACACAACAAAAAGCTGGCCATGTTCTTTTGCCACTATAATCTCAGCAGCGAAGAGACTAATTGAATCTCACTGATGAATTTTGCATGCAAAATAAATAATGTAATAATGTGTGGTGAGCTTAACCAAAATTATGTAATTTTAAGTTTATTGACTCAGAAGTAATAAAGTGACTCTTCTCTTTCACTATAGCTGAAGTGTATGATAAGTAACTGAGTCACGGTAGCCTATATTTGAGGGAATCAAACTTCTTCTTTATTATTATGAAATGTTTATGAACTCATTTAAATTCCCACCATGACTGTCCCCTTTAATATGCTTTTTAAGATGCTTGCCTGTTTGTGACGGAACATATTTATCAATTCTTAATTTGAGGAACATTTGCCACTGGCCCTCTGCGATAGCACCAGATGACTTTGCTCCAGGATTTTTGAAGCAGCTCTAAAACCACTATTCAAAGAAAGCACACTTACTAGATAACATCAAGTTCACAGAGGTAAAGATATTCAATACTGACTTTGGAATACCTTCCTGTCACTGTGAGATACTGAGTATGAACAATGTCTGCTCTTACCTCGGTCTGCACCATGGCAGGCCGCTGGGTGCGAAGTGTCTTCACTGTCTGGAAGAGGTCGACCACTCCTTCGTACCTCATCCTCTCCAGCACGATGCTGAGGGTGATGAAGACTCCGGTCCTGCCAACCCCGGCACTGAAGGGCACACGCACACAGGAGTCTTTAGAACACTTCCTGCCTGAGGCTCCTAAACTCTTTATGACTTTAATGTTCTAAATGGTAACTCATTTTAGGTTTTTCTGAATAAGAAAGCCCAAAAAAAATTATAAAAACTTTTAGGAGAGCCTGATCTGTAAGCATGTAAACCTGAATTATAATTCACTGTATGTGTGCAGTACGTCTTATATCATAGCATTCCTGGCTCAAACAGCTTCTGGACATGAATATAAGTATTTTGTCAATAACGACTAAATACTAAAACACCTCTCAGTATAACATAATCCAGTTCATCAGCCTCTTAAATGACTATAGAGTTAAATAAATGCCTCTTTAAAGAGTAAAAAAATAGTTTTTCAGGATTAAAGTGCAGTCAATATCTCGTGCATGTTGAACAAAGGTTATATCATTTAAGAACTCTGCTGCTACATCGTTATTCAAGCCTGTATAGAGCTCTGCCTACAGATTTATCCTAATGTTATGATTCTAAAATTAATTCATGATCTTATTCACCTGCAGTGTACAGTGATTGGTCCATCCTGTCCAAACTGTTCCTTGGTTTTGTGCACTTGTCCAATGAAATCAATGAAGCCTTCTCCCGTTTTTGGCACTCCTTGCTCGGGCCAGTCAGTGAACTGGAATTGGCGGATTGTTCTGGACTGGCCGTCCTGAGGGGCAGCAAAATAAGTACATTTACAAGACATACAAAAAATGGAGGAGATTGTGTGCATAATTCAGCTGAACTTTCTTCAATGCTTTTATTTATCACTATGAGCAAATAACACTCTTCTGTACTTTGCAGTTTCTGCTTCACACATCTCTCTCTGCAGCCTTCGCTCTAATATGCACTCAGCAACAACAAAAGAAAAAACCCACAGTCGATGCCTTCGACTACCGTAACCCTGTGAGTTTTCACTGCAGTCATAAAATCATCTAATTTACACTTGGGATGCAATATGAATAAAGCTGGAGAGAAACCAGCAGGACTTTGGCACTCCAGGACCAGGACTGACAGACACTTACTGCGAGCTATATTTGACAGCGCTGTGATGTCAGCATGTGTGAATTAAATGTTTTTCGTGCATATGAGGAATGTGTTTCTGAATCTATCTCTCTTTCTATGCACATACTGTATATATAGCTGTATATGTGGAAGAAGGAGTGGTTGTGGGATTAGAGTGCAGTGCATTGCTGTGGGCCTTCTCATGACAGTGAAGTATATTTATAGCCCATTGAAAGTACTGCATCACAGGGAGTTGCAGTACTGGCCCTTGGGGATTGAAGGCTATGCTTTTCATGTATTTTCACAGTGATCTTGGAACACACACACACACACACGCGCAATCCATAGAGCAAGTACACTGTTGCTAAATCTGGGTAAACATGTTTGATGGTGCATTCACTTGATGTCAGCCTGTCAGGAGAAATAACACAGGATACGTTCTGATCATCTCTACCTTGAAATCACAGCCAGTATAATTCTTAACACTTAGCGAGACTGTCAGCATTTGTATGAAAACCTAAAATTAGGAGGGATTTGAGTTGAAAATGCCAATCAATCCTCACCCACACACATGGACACATACATGAACACACACACACACACACACACACACACACACACACACACACACAGACACACAAGGGCAAAGCAACATACCCTGGCATCTGTGACTTTGAACTCTCTGAGGATGTACTGGGGCATGTTGTACTCAGCCATTGGATCCACCACAAAGTACTGATACCTGGCTGAACGCTCTGCTGGCCAGTACTGATGGCACTTCTCCTGCAAAAGTCAAGGGGAGGCAACATTTGAAGTACTTGTATTCGAAGAATCTTTTTCCAAACACATTCATGGAAATAATACAGTCTTACATAATGACTTCCACATGTACAATTACAGGGTACTATTATTAGTAGGTTCTTCTGTAAGTTATTAGTCATTTTGAGTGATGAGAAGGTCTCTGCTTACAAAAGGAGAGATTAATCTGTGGTTTTGAAATATTGTCTGATTAATTTACGGTGGCAAAATATTTACATAATTTGTTTGTGTTCTTAACTACAGCGATGATGTGCATGAGGGCTTCTGTTCATAAACTATAATTATGGACGAGAGGGTGATAAAAGCTATGAAGCAGTTAGGTGCTGTCGGAATCACATGCATAATCACAAAAAACAGCTCAGTCAAAGATATTATGGATTTAAGATGAAGGCACTGATTTCTTTCCTTCGTTTGAAGTTTTGAGTGATAAACTTGCTCGTTTTTTTTTGCTGAAAATGAGGTGAGATTATTGATACCTCTCTCTTATATCTGTCCCTTAAACATGAAGCTGGTGCCAGCAGCTGATTAGCTGAGCTTACCATAAAGACTAAAAACCATAGACTGTATATAGGAAGTGGACGTAGTCACAGTGACGTCACCCAGTGGTTTGTGGGCTACAGTTTTGGAGCCGCTAGTTCGACCTTAGAAGTGCCGCACACGTTCATGTAGTACGTGTTTGTGTCTTACCCGTCCCATCTCTCGTAGCTTGGTGAGCATGACGACGATGGTGGAGTTGTGCTCCCACAGCATCCTCCAGAAGTCCTCGGTGGTCTCTGCCAGGGGGCCCTGTGTTGCCAGGTAGGCCTTCTGCTGTCTGACGACACAACAGCACATAGAGGAGGCAAAGATTAAAAACAACACATAATAATTAAGAATTTGATGGTGCTTTTACAGCTGGTATTATAAAGCGCATCTCAAAGCAATAACAAGAAATGGATTTTGTGGTGATAAAGTGTGCTGTTTTTGTAGAGACGGCTAAACCAACCCACAAATTTAATAACAGACAAGATAAAAGACATGCAACAAAACTGGTGTCACATAAAGTGCTCTAATACGTTCAGACAGCATTTCTTTTAAACACAATTCAAAGGCTGGCTTTTGTTCTATGAAAGCCACCATTTAGTGGACATTTATATACCAGTTGTAGGAAAGGGAATCAAAACCCATAAGGCCACGCTGCTGAAAAGCATTTAGCTGCAAATTGAATGTCCTGTTGTCCTGTTGTTTGTGAACGTGTTCTCTAACCTAATGCCAACAAGACAAATTCCTACACATTTAATGAACATAGCAAATAATCCCTGGCAACTATCATCATCATCGAGCTATTTAAGCCTGTATAGATCCTCTACATCTTCCCCCTTTCCTCTGTATAGCACCACAGAATGAGAGAGAGAGAGCGAGAGAGAGAGAGAGAGAGAGACAAAGAGACAGACAGAGAGAGAGACAGACAGAGACAGACAGACAGACAGACAGACAGACAGACAGACAGACAGACAGACAGACAGAGAGAGAGAGAGAGAGAGAGAGAGAGAAAGAGAGAGAGAGAGAGAGAGAGCGCTATGCTCACAAAACTAGAGATGAGCTCATCCACTGAGCCAAAGCAGTGCTGGTGTCCTACGTGACTTTGGTTCAGCTGAGCAGTTTTTCTGTCAAACAGCAGGTGGCAGCAGCGCACTGATCAACAAAGTGAGACAGAGCTCCAACACAAAACCCTCGACGTGCACACACGCACACACACTCTCACTTGCAGCACATGTTAGTTTGCATTCAGGTGTACGTATATATGCGTGCAGTAGTTTCGCATGTATATTCAGACACGCAACTACACACACTCAGTCACGCACCGAGCCACGGCTGAACAACTAATGAAGGTGCTGCAGGCAAGGCACTAATGTGGAACCGGGAGATTAGAATATGCTCAGGGCTTCGCCCGCACAAATAAAGAAACAACAGATTGGCTGAGAGAAGAGGAGATGGCATACGAGGAGGGAGAGGCAACAGAGTGAGGAATCAAATTAAAAAGATGAAAACGGGGGAAAGAGAAATGCAAAATAAAGAGAGGAGATGTACAAAGTAGAGGGAGAGGATGTTGAGAGGGAAATGCAGAGAAGAGATGAAAAGAGTGAGCACTGCTCTCTCAAGCTGGTCATCAGAGTGCAACGTGAAACTGACTGCTGGGGAGGAGAGGAGAGGAGAGAAAAGGAGAAGAGAGGAGAGCAGAGCAGAGCAGAGCAGAAGTGAGGAGAGGGGAGGAGGAGAGGATAGGAGAGGAGGAGAGGAGAGAGGAAAAGAAAGTAAATAAGGAAAGGGCAGAGAAGGAAAGCAAAGCTAAGCAGGGGATGAATGCTAAATTTCAAATTGATAGGGTGGACCCCTCTAACCTCCCCATAATACAGCCCCGAGCCAAAACAAAAACAATTCTAACCATACCACACAAAACTGACTTCTCTGCACACAGTGTCCTGATGAGCGCGCTGCCAAACAGCACAAAGCAGTCTCTGCATCATCCCACATGACTGCAGCGCTTGAGGACATAGCGTTTCATTTCAACCTCATTACAATGCTAAAACTCCAGCCTGCATCGGAGCATATCCAGGGCTCATAGCTGGAATCAATGGTTCGCCTCTCATTAGCTTAGCATATTATTGGCTTTTCTTGAAGACGCTGGGGTGAAGGGCACTGGAGGCCCCTGTTTAGTTTTTATTTATGGCCAGGATTTAAAAGGGGCTTAATCACACAGTGCCGTCGGTGCACACAACAGGTCCCCACCCGGATATGTCTGTGTCTGCCATGATGTTTGGATGGAAAATTAAGAGGGCGTGTGGAGACAGAGTGCGAAAAAGAGGTGCGAAGGAGACAGGTCGAGGAGGATAGAGATAGAAAGGGGTACAAATAAAAAAAGGAAAGGGGAAAAAAAGAGAGAAAAGTAGAGAACACGGATAAGAAAAAAGAAAAGGGAGGGAGGGGTTTGGAAACACACTTCATTACACTACTCTCCTGCTGCAATTATGCTATTTACACAGCAACAACAGAGGGTCTGCCTCTGCGGAGCACCGTCTCATTAACAACAGAACTGGAGGAAGAGGAGGGGGTTGGGGGAGTGTTGTCTCCTTCATGGCCCGGTACGAAGCACAACCCCATATTGACTAAATGGCATTTCATGCTTGCTAAATCCATCCCCTCGCTGTACACTTGAACCACAGAAGAGTTAGCTCTCTCTGTCTCTTCTGTGGCACTTATATAGATATAAAACAGAGAGCTGCCTTTTCATCTTCCTCCCTCCAGGAAGCAATTTGGACTCACAGAGCAGACAAGAACATGCAGTAGCTTCAATGTGAAAGTGGTAGTGGCTCAGCGGACGAGAGCCACATTGACAGAGCCGCGAGTCATTCTTGCAACTGGATACTACCCACTGCGGGCTCGTCTTCAGTCCCCTCCCATGCATTTTCATCTAGTCCACTGTGAAACTCCGCTGTGTTTTAGGACAGTGATGCAATTTTTGTTGTGCTGGCTCTGTACTCCGGGACATTGGATTTGAAATGACACAATGTGTGTAAGGTGACAGCGTAGACTCTCAGGTTCAATTTAAGGATGTTTAGATCCACATCAGAGGAACCATATGGGATTATAGCCCTATCCCAGAGAAGTTATTGTAAAATTAACATCGACCTTAATATTTGTTTGCAAGTCCTGCTCACATAATGTCTGCATGGTTGTTTATGATTTCCCCCCCCCCCCCCGAATGTTAAGGCAGGCCTGTACGGCACCCATCTTCTCTTGTTGCCTTCAGTCTGGTTCAACCTGCTCGGATGGATCGACAGGTGATTATTTCACTGTGAGGCCATAAAAAAGATTGTTGGTTGCTTTGAATACATGTAACGGATCACTGTTGCACTGGGCCTCATACACCATCCTGCTGCATTTAACACTAAATGTGTTTGAATCTGTCACTTAAATTTACTTCCGTTTTAGTTGCGTTTGCTAAAAACTACAGTACCCAGCTTTATGAACTATGTATTTGTGAACGGTGTTTTGAGATTTGCATCTCCAGTATGAACAAATAGACTTGGAAATAAGAGCCAAAGGCAGTGTGGCATTGTATTGAAGTTTGAAAGTATTGAGAGAGAGAGAGAGAGAGAGAGAGAGAGGACTAATGCATTGCTGGCTTTGATCTTTTCATGGCGTTTGTTAATTAGATAAATATAGAACAATGCAGTCTTGTCCTTTAAAGGTCAAAGTCAGCACTTTAAGCCGACTCATTGTCATTGTATTCATGTCAAATGTTGATGTTGAAGTCCTTTGCATACCTGTAGCCGTCAATGCAGCTGGCGTTGATGTAGTCGGAGCCCTCGACGCCACGGATGGGCTGCAGGCAGACGCGGGTGGACTCAAAAGGCATGATGTTGACCAGGCGGTTCTTGAACTTGTTGCAGGGTAAGTTGGCGCTGATGAAGCGTGATGTGTGGGCTTTGGAGTTGGCCAGTCTCTGTTTAATAACAGGTTGGAAGATATCAGACAGGGAGAGAGATGGAGAGGAATAAAAGTGTGACCTGTGACCTGCAGTAAACAAACAAGGAAGTCTGAAAAGCCTCCCTGTCAAGTCTCTATTTAGACTTAGACTTCAAGTTTCCTGTCAAGATAAAAGATAAATACTGCTGGCAGGTATAACTAAGTGCAGCAGACTTGTCTCCCATCGAGTTCCAGAGCTTGGAGGACTGTGGGCGTGACAAGCTCAGTGCTGGCAATAGACAGAGCACAGATGGACAGCACAGGAGTGTGTATGGACAGTCATGGTACTCTCGGAGAATTTGTGTGTGCATGTTGTGGCCAGACTGTGCGGGTATGGAGGCTGTGGCCCCCACATACGCCGCAATCATTCTCTCACTCTTTCATTCTCCGTTGTTGGCAGGAGCGTAGATGCTATTATCACTTCAAACAGAATGGATCATGGTCATAAGAGGGCTAATGGCAGAGCCGCGCTGGGAGGAAAGTGTGTAATAACATCACAGTCGATGGCTATTGACAGAAGGTGCGCGTGTGACTGCGAGTCACCTTGAACACCAGCTGTGTGTGTTTGGGCGAGGGTCAGTCACTTTAGTAATCCTCCATGTGTAGGTGTATTGTTGTGTTTGTGCGTTAACGTGAGTTTGTTCTGGTCCATTTGTCCCTGAAACATGTGTGTTCATATGCACTGATGCTACTGTAGCTGTTGAGATGTCCCAGCATGTCACAGAGAAACATTCCTGTGCATTGGCTTATTTGGTGAATTCATTAATTCAAACCTCTATGTGATCACAGTGGTAAAACCCTGAAGGTCAGAACTCTATTAGATCAGAGTGGATTGAGCATTTCTCTAATTTCTGTTAATAATTAACGAAAACTCTCTTCCTTTACAGTGTTACAATGCCATCCCTGCAAACTATCCAGTGCCCTATAAATCAGATAAAGCTGTTCTGAAATGTCTTTTCTTACGTTAAATGCTTCATTACATCCTGCAGGAGTAGATTTTTCACACTAAAAAAGTCATCAAATAGTGCCTTAAGTAATACTTGTCTGAGGTGTGTGCTAATCAATCACCTTGAACTCCAACTCCATGGCAGTAACCGTCTCACCGGGCGGGGGCTGGGTGAGTTTCTGGATGTGGGCGTACAGGTTGCGTGCCGGAACCTCAGTGTTGCCGCATGTGGCGGCCTCCAGCAGTGCTTCGTGGATAAAGATGTACTGGTCCTCGGTCTGGACCATGTAGTTCCTCTGGGCACGCATGCACGTCACGTGGCCGTAGATGTCTACAGACTTCTCGTGCTTCATGCGCTCCAGCATGGCATCGATCACGATGAAGCAGCCGGTCCTGCCCACACCCGCACTGATGGAGTGAGGACGGATGAAAAACTTTATTTCACAAACAGATAACTGTCTCACGTCTGTTTACGCTGTACAACAAGATCCACTGATAGTACAAACACATGGGTACACATCTATAGACATAACTAGCACTAAAGCTCAGGGTTATCAGTGTTGAGCTGGAAATCCAAAGCACTTATAAACCACTAAGTCACAGCAATACTGAGTTAATATATCATCCTAGAGTATTTAACATGCAAGATGTAAATCAGCACTTTATTATAAAGTATCAGTTTTCAAGTACCCTTACTAAATGTTTGTGTTTCAAAATGCTACTTCACATTATATGAGCTAATATGCAAAACAAATGTTCATCTCAATGTGGTTAGAAAAGGTATGGAGATCAAAATATTGAGATGAGTCAAGATGCATTGAGAATGTGTAATGTAAGGTTTTCCAGTCCTCTTATGTTCTCTCTCGACATTTTGATTCCCAGATTAGTTGATTTACACCATTTAGCACAAGAGCGTAACGTTTGTGATTGTAGAGGCATCCTGAGAGACTTTTCGACTGCATGCAACATCTGGAACACAGAATTATTGATTCCTGGGGAAGGATTTCAACATCTCTGTTGCATGTTGTGTCCTTTGCGGCGTATTGGCACTTATCTTTGATTAAAGAACACAACCCTGTCTAAGCCAATTCTTTTCATCCATGAAGAAAACAAGCCATGCAAAATAAATAAATGCGATGGTGACAATTAGCAGTTAATTTACCGGAGGCACACATAGTGCACTTGTTCCAGTCTACACCCACCTGCAGTGGACCACCATGGGCCCAGCATCTGGAGGATTGCAGGCCTTTACCCTCCGAAGGAAGGCCAGGATGGGGGTGGGGTACTCTGGCACCCCGTGGTCTGGCCAGGCCATGAACTGGAACTGTCTCACCTCTCTCTTCTCACTGGAGCCATTCTGCAGGAGAGTCAGAGGAGTCAGTAACATAGAAAGGCGTATGTTTGCAAAGACATCCTGACTTATATGTTATTGGCTGCTTTTTAAAGATAAACTTGTCATGCTTGGGGAAAACTTTTACAAGTTAAGTTCACACTGTTTTGATGAAAAGGGAGGAAATTCTACAGTTGAAATTTGAAGGCATACGTGATTTAATCAGAAATGTAGCAATGTAGCAAATTTTAAGCAAAGGTCTCTGGATAATAACTTTGTTAACAGCAGTAGGTAAGGTTTATAATTTACACTAATTCAGCAGTTTCTCAGAAAAGGTTTCTTGGAATTGTCACAAAAAAACTGCTGAAGCGGGAGACTTGCAATAACGTTAGAAATTATAAGTAAGTAATGGAAAAAAGACAGGGAAGAGGAGACGTAAAGGACACATCAGTCCCGTCATCATAGCACTGAAAAGTATGAATCAAAGGGAAAACTGAAATATTTTATTGCCTTTTAAAGAACAAGAGACCAACTTTCGAAAGTTAAAAAGCAATTACAGCAGTGCAAAAAAAGATTCCAGTTCTAATAGCCTTGATCTGTCTTCAGAAAAAAACGAATGAATACATTTTAAAATGTGACCTCAGTAATACTAAACTAAAACTCCTGATCAATTTAGGCATCAGTAAAGAACATAGATAAGGGGCAGTTTGTGTAATATGGCCTTATGAAGATGTGAATGTTCTACGGTTGCATAAGGAAGACGAACCAACTGTCTCATACAAACTGCAAAGATGTGTGCCGAAACCCAAATCAGAGACAAATCGTAACGCGCCATGAATAACATTTTGTACACCATTGTAGAACATTTTCAAATCTAAGTTTCCTTGCACCAAAAGAAAAACAGCAGTTGTTTCTATAATAGAACCCTAACTTCAGAGTTTTTTCAGAAGGTACTTGATATGATGTTTAAAAGACAGATTGTCTTCTCGGAAAACACATAAAGATATTCATAAGCTCAGACTCGTTCAATCACCTCATTACTTAAAGTAACAATCCGATATACGCCATCAGCCGTCTTCCTGTATGGTGTACGGTTGAGTGCAAATGACGAGGCAGTACTGTACCTTGTAGAGAGCGAAAGTACGGACGCTGTAAGTGGCCAACTCCACGGTGTCCAGCATGGTGACCTGGATCATTCCATAGGTCTCTGTGCCTCGCACCGGCCAGTACTGGTCACACTTCACCTGGCAGAGCAAGAGAGAGGGGGCACACTGTCAGCACTGAACTGCTGCTAACATCCACCACGAGGCTTGTGAGAGGCTTGTAGGATCACACTGATTAACACGGAGGGAACATTAGAGAGGTCAGATCAAAGGCTTTGTCCACTGTCTAATTAAAAATTGAATACTCAGAGTCAGCTCCTGTATCTGCTAAAAAGTCAAGTGAATTGAGCATGTGCATGTGCATCCATGTGTGTCAGCATTTGAAGCGGGCTTCAAAAGGGCATTAAAAAGCCCACTTTGTCTTTCACCGGCCTGTGATCATTTTCAATTAGCTAATTGCCGGATGGTTTGAAACCCTTTGTCATGTGTGCTTTAGGCGCATTTGTGATGATTGGGCACTGCATTGTGGAGGGACACGTTTCTAAAAGACAGCAGGTCCGTCCAACTGGATACGATGCATATGTGCACAAAACCAACTTCACTGTGAATGAGGCTTAAGATCCTTTAAACACTGGCACCGAGTGGCTTTGCTTCAGTCTGTGTATCTATGAAAATGACAAACACATTTAGCTTTACTCCCTCTCTTCAGCTAGGATCCATTGGCATTAAACTGAAAGAAAAAAGACTTAAAATTGTTGACCTCTACTTAACGCAACTTTTACATGAACTCTTCCTTGTGAGATTGCTGACTGGCTGTCACGGGAGATTGGCTCTGGTTTCAAAACAGCAATAATAAGGCTTCTGTTCAGTAAACGTAGGGAAAATATGTCCTTAACTACTTCTGAGTTATTTTAAAGTATCTGGAGGCGATGAGTCACATCATTATCAAAACACTCTGCCCACTGATTGGTCTTGCTTCTAGCTTCCGGGCTCAGCCGATTCTCTGTGTAAGTTTTCAAGACTAAAACCTTGTTTGGAAAAACAGTCCATAACAATGTGGTCCACCTACTACGCGTCTTAAGTGATAAGCTGAACCCATTTTCAATCAGTCACAGGCGTTCCGGACAATAGCATGAGCTAAAAAAACACGAAACATTTTAGAAGTGTGTGGGTAAAACTTGTCATTTCACATAATCACTACACGTCTGCTCAACTCCCTTTTTACATATAAAAACTGAGCGAACTGTCAGAATTGCAGGGACAATGACTTGCTGCTATTGATTTGGATAACATTAGAGGAAGAGATGTGGTGCTGCTAAGCTAATCATATTGATACCGCGGTACCGAGCTGACATTTGGAAGCGCATTGGCTGTCTCAGCGAGCTGGTAGAAATCGACAAACAAAATGCGTTCAAATTCACCCCCTCACATTTCACCTCCCCTGGTGACATCTTCCATTCAGAGGCAGAGATAGACCTTGCAGGAGAAACTCAATTGAGTGATGGGGAACCGCTTGCAGTACAGACATATGGATTAGCAGTCACCGCCGTAATGAATATCTCTGTGCTGTTCGAGGTTGGGTGGCATATTCTCCCTCGCAAACACACACACACACACACACACACACACACAGACCGCAGGTTTCGCTATCATCTGCTTCTGCTTTGAACCTCGCTTCTCATATGTCGTCGCCTGCCCTTTTACAGAGGATACAGACCTGTTATCTAGACACACACACACACACACACACACACACCGAGTAATACTTCTGGTCTCACTTCAAATCCTGACCTTTTAGGGTTTTATTAACTGGTAATGATAGTAGTGCTAGCGGAGGCTAAAATTGTTCTGCTGCCGCATCTCATCATATATGTCAAGCTCCAGTTCTGTTTGGCGTAAGACGTCAGTCTGGCTGGGTGATGGAGGTTACTCACTCATCTTGTCCTTGTACGTATGTGAGAGAGACATAGTCAAATAGAGGATGTGTATTTATGTAAAATGTATAACAGACCTCCCCGAAAATGTGTCTAATCTGGAGTACAGTCGTCTTTCAGTTCCGTCTTATTAAATGTCTATTCATTATCAACTTGCTACAGTTTGTCTGACGCACTCTGCTGTCTCATTTGGTTTTTCAGGACGGATCCACATATTAAATAAATGTTATTTTCAGCACTGATGCAGAAACAAATGTAATCAATTCAATTTACAGTTAGATGTCTCATATTGTATTGTAAGAAATAATAGTAAATTGTGACAGACAGTATCACAGAGAGATTTCTAATTCTAATTTAACTTAAAATGTCATTAACAAAAATAATCAGAGGTTGTAATTGTGATTCATACTCACCAGTGTTCAAAGAGTAATTACACAGAAACATTTTTACGAGCCGTGAACACAATAATATATACTGTATATGGTAATAGTATAAATGTCAGCAATGCTGATAACAACTCTACATGCTCTTTGCAGCGGGTAATTAAACACCCTCTTCTGGTTTGGAAATTCCAGCTCCGAACCGTTTGATGATGTTGTACTGAAGATTTAAAGGCATCCTGACAAAACACGTTTCCACCTATACTGGTGAAAGGGCGGTTTGGTTCTCTACATCTCTTTCCATAGTGTTGGCAAGCCAATTGGCTCTCAGATGTGTGAAGTCGGGACAGGCTGAGGGGCTGTTTCATTTCTCTCTAAGTTCCTTTTGTTGTGGTGCGCTGATTTTGTCCTTGTGCATGTATGTGCGACTGTGAGCCTAAGATCAAAGCAGGACGAGCATGTTCATCCATCACAGAGCTCTGAAATTGCCACTCAGATGCACTAAACGTATGGAAAGGCATTTGTGAGGATGTGTACAGTATATCCTCTCTGAGATTGCCTGAAAGTGAAATAAAAAGCACCTTATCAAGCATATCCGCAGACCATATCAGCAGATATTCTCCAAGGTACAAATAAATGAGCTCTTTCTAAAAAGACACAGTGTGCCCACAATTTGCCTAAATGATTGATTGCATCGATAGCTCAAAATTAAAACAGATGACGGTACGTTTTGAAGGATGCTAAGTAATTTAAGTCTACTTGACAAAAAGCTAGCTACAGACTCACTATAGATACTGAATAGTGAACAGAGCATCCTGTAATGATTTTCCACCCACCCCTCAAAAAAATCAATGTCGTAGATTTTGGAAATTAACTCTTTCATTTACAATCCCTGTTACTTCCAGTTCTTAATCTGGGGACTGTCTTTCATTAGGGCACCGAGTGCAGACACTAATAAAAGAATTACACACTGGCAGGGCTCCATACTGATTTAACTCCTCCATGGAATTCATGAGCATGATTTTGTGATGGTAATTAAATAAACCCATTCCCAATTTTGAATCTCAAGTTGCCCATGTGCTCCTTTTATTTTGCTTTTATTAGCTTGAATATTTTTAGGGCCGCACAGGTGTTTTTGGGTGACAATCCTCTTAACTCCAACTACAGCATTTTCATTATCGTGCCGAGACTTTCAAGAGCCAAATTCAGAAAGTGCAAACACGAACGAGGCCCTCGATGTTTATGAATCCGTGGCGTGGTGTTGCAAAAATAAATATGTAGCAATCAAGTATTGAACTCTGAGCGGTTTCAAAATAACAAATGAAAAAAAGCATTTGCATGATTATGAAACTCTAAACATAACGACACTGTATATGTCATGGCAACTCCACCATGAGTGGCAAGGAAACAGTAAGGAAAAGTTAAACGGCGAGAAGCTGTTTACTTCACAAACAGATTTAGACGGAATTGATGGAAAACTTTTTAGAGATTGCCGGAGAGAAGCAGCACGAAGCGATACGGTCCAAAAACAACCAACATATCCTTTGAAGCGCTTGTGACTTTGATCAGGCTGACAAATCTTGCTTTAAAGTGAGACCGGGTGTCTATATGCCTTCAGGCTTTGTTGGGTGTAACGTTACGTCCCCAGAGTTGAGCTACATAAATATATTCTTATATATATATATATATATATATATGTCAGAAAACTCCATTTCTGGCCACAGTTCAATTTTCAAACACTGACTGTCTGATCCGTCTGATACTGTCGACTGCTAATGGCCCCAGTCATCTGTTTTCCTCCAAGTATAACAACCCCATTCATAGAGGCCACCTGTTGGTAGATTTGTCAACTAAGCAGTGGTAAAGGGTGGGGTAGCACATCAAATCAATTCATCATCTGCTGCATGCAAATGCATTTGGAGTAAAATGTATTTCTGGCTTCTATATTATAGTTTATGGCAAATATATTATGAGGTGGTCATTATTTATGACTTATTATTCATAATTAAATCATTTATAGTGATTGAGTTCATACGTCATTTATTATCAAAAATGATTGAATGAATGTGATTAAATCTTTAAGTATGCACATGTCAGTAAATGGATACATCATAACAAATGTTATGGAATAAAGTCAGTAATTGTCAGCGTTGTATAGTAAATGACACCCTCTCTCCTTACCCGTGACTTTTCCTCCAGTCGGGTCATCATGACGATGGTGTTTGATCTTTGCTCCCAAACCATCCTCCAGAAGTCGCTCAGTGTCTCTGGCAGTGGCCCCTGTGTGGCAATGTAGGCATTCTGCTTCCTATAGCCGTCAATGTAGTTGGAATTGATGTAGTCACTTCCTGGAACGGCTTTAACGACAAGAAGTAAGAACGTCACTGACACATTTCACAGTGTGGTTTATTTATTTTTTATCTGATACGCTTGCTCGGAAACAGAGATGAGATTAAAATCAGAATCATTTTCATCAAAACACATAAGTCACTTAAGATGCATGGTATTTTCCAATCTCTATATTATGACTGACATTCTGCACTGAAGCAAAAAGGGTACATGTGTTTAGTGGTTAAACGGGGGATTCCCAAAGCAGCAGCTGCAGGCATCCAAAATATCCTTGGTACTTCTGAAGGAGGTCTCGATCGATGGCAGCCTCTGTCAATGGCTGTCTGAGGGGTTGAGTGGATACACGAGCTCTTACCGTCAACAGAGGTGAGCACCACTCTGGAGTGGTCATAGGCAATGACGTTTGCATAGCGATTCTTTGGCTTGTTGACCTCCATGTTGGAGTTCTCCCAGGTAAACTGCTGGCCTGGATCAACGGACTGTGAGAGAGGGCAGGAAAGACAAGAAACAGAAGACAGGGGGGGGGGGAGAAAGTGGACAGATACACAAGGAGAAAGAAAGGAAAGAAAATAGAAGCACAAAATGAGGCTCTTGAGTGTTAAAGGGATAAAATGGAGCAAGACAGGAGGGTAAGGGAATAGGGCACAATTACCGTACTGTCTGCTGTCATCCATTCAACCGCAGTACACCGTGGACAACAAAGCCTTTAAATGGAACATATACCAACATCGTGTCCCTTCAAAGCCATAGTGGAGCGCTACAGGTGAGTGGTTTTATACTGTGAAGGAGATTGTGCAGACTCAAGCTATCAGTTGACAAAATACCATGTTGTTGGCTCCACTGCATCTGCTGGTGCTGCATTAATGGGTTGACAACTTAAATGCTAATGAAGCAGAAATATAAAGGCAGCTGTTTTGGTGATTTAAATCAGCAACAACAACAAAAAGCATGAATTGAGCCAACAGAGCAAACATATTCCTCCTATTTCTAAACCCAACATGATGAAAATGCTTCTTTTAGCTGGGGAATGAGTAAAAGTCATGCTGAAGCTTGCTGGCAACCATAACCACAAACACTCATCCTCTCCCTTTAGGATGGTCCTATTGAATTACCTAATTCTGAGAAGTCACATGCATGACTGCTTACGGTAACCATGATTCTTCCCAGGCTCCCTCTTTCTGTCTTTTCTCATCTTCTATTTCTGCTGCCCTTCCCTATCTTGTATTTTTGTTTCACCCTCTCCCTTTCATCCTCTCTCTGTTTCTAACCCTTCCCTTCTTACGCCATTTGTCTCTCGGGCTAAGACGACAACAGACTGCATACATATTGATCTGGGAAGATATGTGACGGCCTCCCATCCCTTGGCTCGATAATGTCACAGAGTCTCTTGTTATTCCGAATCGATCCCCACGAACCATGACCACTAATTCCCCAGACCTTTCGCCTCGCAAATCCAGCAGGAGTCGACACCTTCTTACACTTACTTAACATGGCTGTAGCTCTAATTTAATTATTATGGGTTATCTAGTGTCAAAACATGACATCTCAAACCTAATAATAATAATTATTATTGGATAATGGATAAAATAAAGGGCACAAGATGAGGCCTGGAGAGTGAGGAGATTAGGATCCTGGGACATTAAGTGATGAGCAAGAGTTGTCCTGGTGTATAGAGTCCTAGGCTACACGTGTGGTTTGCCTTATTATAACAATAAAGATACATGCCAGTTCATTTGAAAATCTGGTACAGCAAATTGCTCTCCTACGGCAACAGTAAGGTTCTAGCGCTCACTTTGTTTTCTTATGGAGTAAAGTGGCACCTACATCGGTAAAAATATGGCATAAAGGTTATATACAACCTATCTTAAACTCAAAGTTTTTTTTCCCAGAGAAAGCCATTCATGTGTTGTTTGCTTCTGAAAAAGATTTGAAAAATGTGGAGTGCTCATATGCAAGACATCTTCCACAACAGCTCCAAATTGCTCAGTACTAAGGCCCTGTCTACACTACCCCGTATTTGCTACGTTTACACTGAGCGGCCACACTACGCCGGAGTTTTGGAGCACCCTAAACGGAGGAATCTGAAAACTCCACCGAGGTTGGAGGTATTTGAGAACTCCGGGGTTGCGTTTGCGTGTGGACGGTCGGATACGGATGTGCTTAGAAAAAATTACGCCCACACCCGTGTTCGCTACTGGATTGGTTCTTGGCAACCATTACGTCTCCGTCCCTGATTCGTCACACTCACTATCACGTGACCCGTACCCGGAAGAAAACAAACTGGGCTACCAGCGATTCATTTCAACATGGATAACTAATTGCAAGCGTTGCTGCTAGCACAACAGCTAGCAGCAGCTAGCAGCTGTTGTGCAGTAAAAGTCTGCATTTCTGTGGAGGAAGCAGCTGTTATTGGAGTGATTACCTAGCGGCGTGACCGGCATCAGCCCTATGGAGCAGCTCGTTGTTTTTAGATTCTAATGAGAAGACACGCTGCACTAACGTTTTACTTCTTCCGTTTGGTAGCCTTGAGAGACCTTAGTCTGTAAGTATGTCTTTATGAAGCATGAAAAGATGTACGTAGATATATTCTATTCGCAGCGCTGTAACTACGTCTGAAAAATAAAACTTTCCACGAAGTGTGTCTGTTTGAGTTTATGGAGGGAGATTTTAGAGGAAGATCTTAAGTATCAAATATGCAAGCAATCCACTTCCTGTTTACACCGTCACACGCATGCCCAGTGTACGTTAATGGTCATGTGCTGTCCGCCTTCGAAGGCTGCCGTGTGGACGCAGATCAACTCAAGAATGATGCTGAAACTCCCTTGTGGACGGAGATCGTTTCTATTTGACAAATCTGCATCGAAGGAGAAACGGAGTAGTGTGGACAGGGCCTGAGTCATGTGGGTATAGGCCTATTGCTGCTGATGAGCTCAGCGCTGCCAATTTCTCTGTCCATGCACACCATTACGAAGAGAAAGATTTAAATTGCAGTCAAAACATGTCATATCCATTTGAGAGCTCAGTGAACTCAGCAGGCACACAAGACTGATGACAACTAGCAAACAAGTTCGGTGGAGATGGTAGAAAGAGGTGAGAAGCTAACGCCCAAAGTATTCCCGCTGACACACTGGAAATGCTTTCAAATGAACATAATGATGCCATGACGACTGCAGCGTAAAAATGCTTCCTGCGATAAGAAAAGACTGTCAGGGGGAGCTGCAGCATGCCTGATTGTCAAATTCTGCTCATTACCCAGTGTGCTCATTGCTTAGTGTCATGTGGACTGGCATTGGTGGTAAAGGAAGTGTCAGGCCGCCGAAAACATCAGGGAGGGAAAGTGGTGAAGCTTCTGCAAATTGTGTGCCTTGGGGTAAGGCGCAACGGGAGCAGTCGGCGAATGCGACTGACAAAGCGCCATGAGCTCTGCCACCGCGCCTTGGCTGGCACAGAGATGGTCGGCCATCTGCCGGGCCATGGAGGGGGTCTTCCCTGGCTTGTAATGACTGGTGCGGAGAGGAATTGGGGCCGGGCTGGTTGCCTGCAGTCATACAACCCACTTCCCTGGCTTGATTCGTTTACACTAACTCAACAGGCCGGGAGGGTGATGCGCTGGAGAGGCACTGAGCAACATAGGAAAGCACTTCATTTAGTGCAGATTTCTACTAAGGCCTCATTATCTCCCCAGTTAGCGGCTCATTTCATGGTAAATAAGATATATTTTTTTGTATGTATTTGTATCATATTATGTATGTGTTTTGTCGTGCATTACAATGGCTCCTGCTTACAGATTTCATACAGTTTCCACAAAAACCTGGCACTATAACACTCGTGAGGGTAGGATGTATTACATGTTGTTGTATTAGAATGCATCAGTTTCAGCTGTGAGTACTAAAATTGAGAAAAACTCATGTATGAAATGTGATTAAATTCAAGGATTCAACTTACTTATGCAGGACAAAACACACAAACATTGGGTGTTGATGTAAGCATCATATGGTTCTAAATGCTTTTGTTTCTCATGCAGCCAACGCCACTGGGTGAGTGGAATCATAGGTATATCAAATAGATGTTATTTCTCAGTAAACACTGGACAGGGCAGATAACAGTGTGGTTAAACAGGTTTGGCCTTGTGGTGATGCTCGGGGAAAAGCCATGAGTTCACCAAAATCAGTTTAGTTGGGGATGTGAAATTGCAACAAACATACAGACAGAGGAGATCACGTAACTTTTTAGGTAAAGTTAAAAAAAAGAAAGTAACCAAATGGATCCATCAATGTGGGGAATAGAGCTGATTAGTGAAGAAAAGATCGAACAATCAGAACAAATGAACAAAAGACGGCTCTTGTTTTTCTGTATTCGAGGATGCCTTCTCTCTTCATCTGGCCTTGCTTCATCCCCAAACCCACTATGTGCCACTTTAAATGCAAATTCGCTCCCTTTTTTCTGAGGAAGAACACTGGCAAGAGATAATCCCTCACCAAGTTGCATTGGGGAGACCGCCTGCAAAATAACATTCTTCGGGGAAAACATCAAGATGCACACAGATTGCTTAAGCAACTCTACACCTGCTAGTTTTGTGACAAAGCATCTCGCAGCATTCAATGTAAGTGTTGGTTTCCTGGTGGGATTGGTAATAGAGTTGTAAAAATGACTGAAGAATGTCTGCGAAAGAAGTCGTCCATAATCCTTTTAGAATACATGCATAAGAAGCATAAACACAAAACTTCCTCCCAGATACGATAACAAAGAAGCACATTTACAAGTTTGACAGGGAGGGAAACACTGACACAGCATAAGTGCATGGCTTACCTCATACTCCTGGGAAAAGCGGAGGCCGTCGTTGGCCTTCAATCGCTCTATGTGGTCAGCCAGCTCAATGACTGGAATGGGTGGGTGCTCCCTCATTCCTGGTAGAGGAAGAGGAGGAAGAGGTAGAAGGGGGGAAAAAGAAAGAAAAGAGTGAGATCTTGCTGTTCCTACATCAAACATGCACATGGACTTAGACAAACACTGGTTGGACCACAGGGTGAGTGAGGCTGCCAGTGGGACCATGAGGTGGCTGTGTAACGGTGAGTAGAGTGCACTTTGTTCAACAATGCATGACGAGAGGAGAAAGAGTAGAGAGAGAGAGCACAAGTTAGAACAGGCTGGTGACATTTGGTGATATCGTCATGCTAAGTGAGGAGGACAGAGGTGGGGCTGGCACGGTGATGCACATGAGTGACTGGGTGAGCATGCTCCTGGAGGGAAGCAGGAGGCAGACATCACTCTGACTCCACAACGCTCATTTGGTGGCAGAGGTGGGATCAGAGCAAGAACCCACAAGTCTCTACAAAATCAGTCACACTGTCACTTCCCAGAGAAGGTGAAAAAAAACTGGCTGGTCACCAGCCAAAACTCATTTCTTTGAAAATCTCTTTCCTTACAATAGACTATCTTTCGGCCCAGCCTGGAGCACTTGGGCTGGATTAATTTCAACCCCTCCCCCCCCCGCCGCTCTCTAGATTTCTCATCGCAGAGTTATTGGATGATTTATTGCTAATCTACCGACACAAATTCCCCCTGAGCCTCTGAACTTGGCAAGGCTCTGTGCTTAAACGGATTGCTGGGAACTTATGTGTTAGAAGTTAACTGTATGTGACGCATGACGAGGCTCTAAACTTATACACGGAGCATCAGTAACCTTACATACATCCTTTGTAGTCAAACTCTTTTAAAAAGGTATACATATTAACATTAGTGCCTGTGGCTGAGCGCATCTGTAAGGTCATGGGTCATGCTTTCAGATGAATGACTACTACATGCTCATTTTTGCTTTAATGCTAATGGCTAGTAACTATGGCTACTGCACGAGATGAGACCTGACCAATTACACTAATTTAATACTATAGCACCGAGAGACCTACGAGGACATTAACATCGATGTGTACGTGTTTGTGCGTGTTCACCCTGGTCTTTTACAGCCACGTTGTTGGGTAAATGGAGAGTGAAGCCATAGTTAACGAGGCTAATGCAAAGGAAGAGTAACTGTCCGCACTGCTCAACTATTCATGAAACCATCTAGTCCTCTGTTTCCACACCAAAATGGTGTTGTGGGAGGTTCACAGCCAAAGAGAGGACATCACTGCATCCTTGGAGCGCCAGAGGCTACAAGCTTGTGGGCTTGTGATGTCTGTCAGGATTGCAACGGGAGAATGGGATCAGGAACAAGTGAGAGGAAGAGAGACTGCATGTGTGGGAAATACACAGTAGGTGAGAGAGCAGACTAACTTGGAGTGTTGGGGCAGCGATGAGAGCTGGGACCTGTGGAGAGAAGAGAGTGAAGGAGGGAGGAAGAAGAACACTCAATCAATGGGGATAGCTCAGGATCAGACCAGGGCCAAACAGTATCTGCAAACAACCTTTCAAGCTGGTTGGAGTGTGCAAGCGGGTGGTGTTTGCTCTCTCAGGACAATTCAAGTAGTGTAGTTTAGGCTGTTAAACAGAAGTGGATACAAAGGCTGACTTTAAAACACTCCCCTGTGACCGTCAGTTTGAACTGCACCGCTGAGTACAAGGCACTATATGTTTAGGAAATATTCACTTTATTAGAACTTGTGTGTGCTTTCATTGTTTTGGCCATCATGTAGATGGAAATCGACTGTGACCACATTTTAATCATAAAAGTTGTGAGTGGTCAGACGATAGGTTGTAAACAAGTTTGGACAGATGACCTTAACCACTTTATTCGGAGGTAAACGAAAAGTGAGGGCACCCGAAATGTTGGTGGTATCCCCTCATTGCACATTAAAATACTCCTCTGTAAATATCTAGTGTGAATTGCACTACTCCGTAAATGGCACTACATGCTTTATCTGAGGTGTCAAACACAAGGGGTGTCAGTTTGGTAGTTTGTCAGTTTGGTAGTTGCAAATACTATCTGAACCAGGTCTGCTGAGGATAAACCAGGTCACTTTCTCATAGAACCGCGCGCCTGCTGCTGAAGTGCCAAAAGGTGCAGCCAAAGTCAGTCTAACAAACCGACATGCTGGAGACATGAGCTGCAATCGGCTAGACCACTTTACAGTAATCAGAATCAGAGCAGGAATGTACTCCTTCTGTGGGTGAATCAAAGCGAGAAAGAGCTAGAGGACAGAGGAAAGGACTGTTCAATATTCGCTCAGCTCAACCTTGGAGTCTCACACGTTTTCACAAGGCTAGACTCAGCCATAGTGATTCTTGATAATCATCACTCTTGAAGCAAAACAGCGAGGTGGAAAGGGAGAGAAAGAAAGAGAGAAATTTTGACGTAGAGAGTGAGAGAAAGAGAGCGAGAGATTACCCTACAGGGGGAAATGGAAGACAAAAGAGGAAAGAGGTGGAGTGGGAGGACAAGAGAACAGGGCTCATTCAGAGCGGCAGCGCTGCTTAATTCCTCTGCAGGGGTTCAAAGGGGCTGTGTTTGTGTGTGTGTGTGTGTGTGTGTGTGTGTATCTGTGTGTACGGCAAATGGGATCTTTAATAACCCGTGAGAAGGGATACACGCGCACACACACAGAAAACACACAGAAACCAGCAGAAGCGCGCATGCACCGGGGTTGACATTTTCTCTCAGCTCCATTGTTCCCTCCGCCTGGCTCACCTTGACATCAGAGGCAGCAGGACTCATTACCAGCTAGGGGGAATGAAAGGAGCTCATGGAGGGAGGAGGAGCGAGGACCGGGGGAGGAAGGAGGAGATCAGGAAGAAAAAGGAAGAAGGCTGGCACCCTGACACCTCCCCCCTACCCCCCCACTGCACGTGGATGGAATGTGAATTCACTCGGCCTGACTCCATCCAGAGATACGATGGTGAACATGATTTGTTTATTTTCTCTTACCGACCATTTTTTTGAGAACTGGTCTGATTTAAAGCCTGAGGATAAATAATAAAATAAGCAAGACGCAGGAATTTCATGAGGCAACATCTGCCACAAAGCCCTAATAAACAAGAGATCCATCAAAAGAACAGGAAGGCAGGCATCCATTGCAGGAGTAGATTGCTTTTGGAAAGGCTGAGTTTAGTTGAAACAAAGAAAAATCATTCCAAAATGCAATTCCCACCATTTGAGAAAAAAAATTGAAAATACATATATTAGGAAACAATAGTAAAGGTATGAATCCCTTAAGATATTTTCTGTCAGCGTAGAAGATAGGATCATCTGATGAATTTCAGGGAGGATTTTCATTTTGGAATGAAGCCTTTTCAAATCGTCAATCACAAAAGGCAGAATACATTTTTTATAATGTTTTGTGAAAGAGACATGGACCGCACCTGCACACCTGATTAAAATGCACACACTGTACTACTGTACAGACATTCACACAGTATATAACAAATATAATAAAACAGAAAACTTTTCAAACTTACCAAAGTTTCTGACTAATAAATAGCGTTCATGTCAAGATCCAAGTCGTAATTACGATGAATACGACATTATGCTAATTTCACAGTATTCAATTCCTCACACAACTAACAAGTTGTCAACATCTACCACCCATCCCATACGGCATGTACCCAGATGTTCATTTCAGGGCAGTTGTTTATTACCTGGGGTCTGGCAGTTGAGTCTTCTCATCTCCACGGGGTCAGAGGAGTTGGCCAGCAGGGAGTCTTTCACCCCACCAGAGTGGTCATCTTTGGGTAGGGGCGATGCCCGCTTCCTGAGGTGGCAAAAACAGACAATTTGGTGTCAACCACATCATACCTACATGCTTAATACAAGAGATGTAACTTAGCCGACAATTGTTAAAACTAACTGCAAGTGGAAATGACAAGATGATAAAAAATATATGTTTAAAAACAAAGGACTGAAGGACATACGTATAGTTTCACTGTGTTGCACACTTGATGAGGTTAATGGCATAGTTAGTGGTTCTTGAAAGTAGTTCGGAGGACCAGTAATTCAAGAGACACTAGGTAGGTACCAGGGCATTACCCCCATTAGTTTGCCAACTGGATTTTAATGTGTTTGAAGAAATGCCATTATTTTCCTGGAGTGGGCTAGGTTGGGTTTGTTTGCTGCTGGATATGTGACAGCTGCTGTGTGGGAATGTGTACATGAGCTCATGTGTACATGAGCATGAGTGTTTGAGTGTAGCAAAGATTTAAATGTGTGATTTGTGCTGCTGTGTGTGTGTGTGTGCTAACAACACATTGTGTTTACTGGCTTTCCAGATTGAGAGAAAAACAGGCGGATGCTGTAATTAGCTCATCAGCTGGGTGGCACAACACTGGGTAATTAGACCAGTTCTGCAGCACCTGCACCGCCAGGCCTAGCCTAGCTGAGTCTAGCATAGCGCAGAACAGAACAGCGCAGCTCGCACTGGCTTGGCTCAGTCGACCGTGGCTTTGTCCATCAGGCAGAGAGAGGAACAGAAAATGCAGCCTGCCTGTATTCTAATGTTCAGACAGCCAGCATCTGTTGACATACACACACAGACAGGCACACAGGTGTATGTTTTCCCACCTCTCTCACTTTCACAACTACACACACTCACACAGATACAGCTGCAGAGTCACAAGCCTTCTGACTGCAAATGGAAATGGGCAGAAAGAAGCATCAGGGCGCCCTGTGGAAATTTCACATCTCATTGCACTCCATTTGTAAGTGGGGAGCGCGGGTTTTAGGCAGGAGCAGGGCCTTCTGTTGAAGTCATGCGTGGAGGGAATACATAAAGCTGGTGGTGCACACACAGTCTTAACCCGGTCCACCTCAGCCGCTGGGCCTTGGGCCTCACCGCCACCTGTTATCTTATGCTGCGGGGGCTTAAGCTAATGCTAGCAGCGTGACGGCTAATCTATGACAAGCATCTTTTCCTCTCCAGCCGAGAGCTGAGCCAGACCGTATCCGGTTTTCCCAGACATCACTGCTGGTGCTGGGCTGGACTAGGGGGAGGGGTGGAAGAGTTGGGCATCTGCAAATCTGTTCCCCATATCCCTCATCTCTCCCTCTGACCAAATCAGATGCCAATCTACACCACACTTTGGTGCTGGGCTAAAGTAAACATGGCAGCAATCTCAATGGGGTTATTCATCTTAGACTACAAGTGAGAGTTAAGACGTGTGAGAATGTAAGTACATGCACACGTATACACACAGAGCGAGTGTGTGTGCTGTACAGGGTGCGCTTAATGAGGGTAGAACAGGGCCCTTTGTTAAGACTCCTGCCACGAGGAAGCTGGGAGGGGGGCTAAAAGTGGAGGAGTGAGTCTCGGTGGAAAATGTCAGCTCAAAAGATGGGAACATTTCTTTTTCAGCAGTTTCCCCATCTGGCATTTCCTTCACAATGGCCCATTCAGCAGCAGGTGATGCCTTGGCATATTCAGATGAGGCCACTCCTGACGGGGCGCGCTGACACTGGCTGGATAATGAAACACAGCACGGAGACAAACCAGGGCAGACAGGATGATCTGAGGGGGATCACTGGCACTAGATGTGGAGCATGCACCGGTACACGGACGTGACCTGGGGGTTCCTTTAACCCCAGTTATAAAGGGCTGCAGAGTCAGCTGCTTCTCATGTCTTGTAAAACTGAACAAATCAGATTAAATATGTTTCCTTTTATTTCTTTTTGAGGGGATGCTTTTGTGCAAAGCCAGAGCTGAGAGGAAGCTGACCCGACAACCCCTAAAGAGCTGATGAACACCACCAATGTGACAACACAAATGAAAGGGACTTGGGTGGTGAAATATGACGTTGTGTCTGCTTGAACAGTGACAGTACCCACCTTTCCTGTTTGCTGCTTTCACATAGAGCAAAAAGAGAGAGGGGCATATTAATAGGTGATTGTTATCAATATGGACCTTACTTCTTCTAAATCTCCACTATTTTCTGTGAGCTAAAACCAGTTCTTCCAAAAATGTACAAGACATCTTGAGAGCGCAGCGTAAAAAGTTATCTTAACACTCGCCGGAGACTTTTGAGAATAACCTCATCATTGTTCACTGCTCGTATTGGTCTTGGCGAATATGCAGGTAGCAATAACAACCCGAGCTAGAGTGTGATTATTCCTTTGCACATTTACTGCCAGTCCACAGTGAAAAGGGCACACCTCCCCACAGTCCCTCCTGTCGATTTGTGTCGACATGGAGAAAGAGCTTCCAGACAGAGGATGTGCTACTTAGCAGCGAGCTGTCTCAAGGCCTATTATTAACCAGTCTGGCAGAGATGGCGGCAACACGGCAGTCTGCAAGGCAGTGGATGGCAGGTTGGAGAATAGGTACTGTATGATGTGGAATTGATAATTTGTAATGGAGCCATCAGGAGAAGATGGGGAGGTTGGACTCAATCAGTCAAACAATTCATTTCCATTTGGATGATATTTTTAGGGTGTCCAAACCACATTGTCGTTCCTATTGTCTCCTCTGTTGTTTAATACTAAACATCTCAAAGACTAGGGGTGAAAAAGACTCATTTATAATGCTGCAACAATTAGTTTATATTTATTCAATCAACAGAAAATTACTCAGCAACTATTTATTTTATAAATTCTGAATTTTTAAAGGAAAAATGTCAAAAATTGTGAGGTTCCAGGTTCTCGAAAGTGTGAATTTGTTGCTTTTCTTGGTCCTTGCATTGTGGTAAAACGTTTGCTATTTGACAAAAGTAGACATTTGATGTAATCACCTTGAGCTCTAGGATACTGAGACGGACATTTTTCACGGTTTCCTAATGTTTTAAATAAAAAAATAAAAAAGAATTGTCAGATTTATCGAACCAAAAAAGAATCGTAGGATGCAGCCATATTTTTTTTTGTTATTGACTTATCTGTCATCTGTTTGATAAAACCCCAAAATATTCAATTTGTAGAGATATAAAAAATAGAAAGGTAGCCAATCCCCCCAGTTCAGTAGAAGTTGAAGTTTGGTTGCATGCTTTTATTTGATAAATAAAACTAATGAACAAATCGTTTTGGCTCTGGTTCAATCATTATCCATTCATCCGTACCTGCCAGCACCTTATTGCCCTGCGTGTATCCATGGAGTGCTGCACAGTGGCAGCTGAAGGGCTTTTAAGAGATATTGACTGAGCTTTTAGTTAAGCCCTCTGTTGCCTTCTGTTTCTTATTTGAAATGACCAATGATGTTGGCCAAAACACATTTCTCACTCCTAACTAAGGGCTTTTGACAGCCAAGCTGTGCTTTTCATTAGGGAGGCAATGTCAGTTGCCATTTCAACTGACACATCACATGGTGCTGTTAAAAAAGACCAACTGGGCCAACAGCTTTTGGGGAGAAATGAGGATTTTCTGAAAGACAAATCAATCCGCCTTTGCTTCCTAACCCGTCACACTGTATATTATGGTAAGGAAATTGAATGTTACAGTTTGGTGTGTGTGAGCAGCATGGTGCAAGTGGCAGAGGGGAGTATGTCTCATTATCATTCCTGATGCAACCAATGGAAACCTACAACCACAAGTGTCACTGCAGTACAACCTGACACAAACACAGTGGAGAATGTCTGAGAGCAGCCTCTTACTTCTTAAAGAGCAGGATGGCGATGACGATGATGATGATGATGACCACAGCCAGCACTGGGCCCATAACCCACAACATTTCGGGTTGCTCCATCCCCTGAGGCAAAGTTGTTGTGACCTGGATCGGGTCCGAGTAGGGACTGGCTGAAAATGTCATCTGTAAGGGAAAAGAAAGTGCAGGAGCATGAGAGCCAAGTCACTTCAGAGCTATAAGATGCATGCATGGTTTTCTCTTCCTATCTAAATGGAAGGGGGTTAAGACTTCCTTAAAAGCCAAAAACAGTCCACACATCGCAGGAAAATGAGATGAAATTGAAAGAACAACCATGTTAGCTTGGTGTCAAGGTAAATTCTATGTTAGAGTTTTTAATTATAGAGGAACCACAGGAAGTCTGGGATGATATGTACACAGTTGGTCTCAAAATACTTTTGAATAGTTTTTTTTCTTGGTTTTTTTAGTTGGCTTTTAAAAAGTATACTAGCTAGGTGGAAGAACTGCGGGTGTTTATTATTACATAGAAACCTCCAACATACAGACTCAAGGTAAGAATTATTGTTTTTTTCATGAAGATGCTTACATTACAAAAGGATAGAGGTTATACATTTCCCTTTCATACATTTGAGAAGTGGCAAACAATTGGCAGACAATGATAGATGAGCTAACAAGCAGCCTTTTATATTCTTAAATTAAGAAAACAATAAGAGAAATCATCAAAAAAGGGAAATAACAATGTAACAATGTTGCAAACTATGAAACATATAAATATATATAGCGTTTACTTTGATAAGAAAGGGAATCACAATGTCTGACTGCAGATTTCTTTGTTTCGGACACCCTGAGAACCAAGTTATTTCATGCTAGAAATAGGTTTAAAAAAAAAAAATACATAAAGCAATCGACCTAACTCAAAAAACACTCTCCCAAAAACAATAACCATCTTGGCTAATGAAGTGTTGTTTCTATTAAAGCATTGCATAACGTTGGAGAGGACGACAGAGCAAGTGCGTGACAGGAGAGTGAGAGACGCAGAGACAGAAAGGCGGAGATGAGTGTGTATGTCCCCTGGCCGCTGAGATAAATGGGGGCACAGGAGAGGACTCATCTCTTCTTCATTAGTGTTCACACCGTGACGGAAGAGGAGGAGGGGGAGGAGGTAACGGTGAGGGTGCGTTTCCACCTTGGTTGTAAATGAGACATCTCCATGCTGCTTCGTCTTCAAATGAAGGAGGGAAGGGATGGGTGGAGGTGTGTGTGAGTCTGCCTGTGAGGAGTGGGTGCATGGTGACCCAGTATGGTGTTTAAAAAAGGAGGGAGGGCAACTGCACGAGAGCACGGTGACAGATGAGAAAGAGAAAGAGGGAGGAGCGAGGCATCTGTCATTAGCGCTCAGCGTGCTTCCTATTGAATGACGATGGGAGATGCAGGTCCTGGAGGGGGGGAGGAGGGCATGGGTGACAGATCGCAGCCCTTGAAAGGAATTGGGCTCCCAGCACGCAGAAGGAGTGGCGGGGCGGCAGGCAGCAGTAATCCGGATCATTAGCCGCACAGCAGCCAGCTCTTCGGCGCCCAGGCAGATATTAATTGGAAAGATAAGCAGAGATGAGCTCAAAGAGTCCTGCTTTCTGTCATATAGTTCTGTTATCTCTCATACTCTTGGGCAACTGCCGGAAAAATGTACAGTATGGGTGTGTGAGTGTTACAGCGTGTCTCAGTCGTGTGCGTGCAAACCAGCGTGCTCCGATATTAGGCACAGGCTCAAGATAACTAATAAGTAGGAAAGTAAAAAGATTCGCATTTTTACATTACAGCAGCCATGTTTTTCATTTATCTTTGTCTTCATTCACACAGATAGCCACACCAGGCATATGAGCCCGGTTCTCTCCTGTTCTGTGTGCCTTTGGGTGGAACCTATTATCTACAAACAATGAGAAACGGCACAGCAGCGGGACACCGCTGATGTGACGACGCCACAAGGCTTCCTGTTCCTTCGGGAGGGCCCAAAAAAGGCTGTAGGATGTGGCCCTGCAGGGAATCCTGGGAAAAAAACTTTTTTTCCCCCGTAGTGTAACAAATGATTGCAGCTGTGCTTTCAGTGAAGGATAAGGGAGGAAGAGCGAGAGGAGAGGGATGAACAAAAAGAGAGGGCTTTTTGTCTGTTGGTCACGGCGAAGTACTGGGATCATCCATTTGACCGGCCCTAATATCTGATAAAAGCTCAGTCACGCAGCTCCTAATGCCTCGCAGAGTGCTATCACAATGGAGCGATGGTGCAGTGAAGGAATGTGTGAGCCTGAAAGTGAGTGAGTCAGAGACAGTGAGAGACATAAAAGCAACTGAATGTGTATGTGCCTTACCACTCTGAATCAGTGAATATGTACGTGTACAGAACAGACATGGGCGGGGCTGTGTATGTGAGAGGTAGGGTCTGCTCCATGTACATAAAGTACCAACGAATGTAATATTCAGGTGGCAGGCTTTGCCTTTTTAACCTAAGCCGACAAACACTTTAATCGATTAAAAGTCTCAACTGTAGCTAATTAACCCCAATTACATTAGACATTTGCGTTACGGCCAAAGGGACGATTTTTGTCTTTTGTCTGCTTAAGCTGGGTGTCTGTACACAGCTGAAGATAGGCAGACATAGAAACGCCCTCTCACATGCTGCTCAGATCTCATTTTCAGGTTGTGACGGTAATCAATCTGTCACTCAAATCTAAAGCTCTGTCAGATCTCTATTGATCTTTAAAGTTATGTATAACTAAAGCTGCTTTAATATGTTGAGAACCAAACCTAAATAGATTTCATGATCAAAGTCAGAAAGTGATTAAGATATTAAATTCAGATTTAACATTTTATTAAACCCTGTCCCTACTGAGAAGAGACACATGAGTGTGAATGACTGTGATTGGTAACACTGCAGATAAGTATTATTACTGCATTGCAGATACTGTACACAGTATACAACTGTAAGCACTATGAGTGAATGAATGTGACGGTACACACGGTGTGCATCCACCAGTGAGAGAAAGAGAAAGTGTTTGATTGCGTGCAAAGACTGTCAACAAATGTGAGTAAAAGTGTGTGTGTGTGTGTGAGAGCATTCATGAGTTTTTCTGAGCCTTTTTTTCAAGATCCTCTGAGCTTCCACGAGTGTGTGTTTGTCAAGGTAGCATCCGCTGAGAGAGTGTATGTATGATTGGAAGTGTTTGTCAGAGACAGAGTAAGAGAACCGAGAGAGATGGAGGGAGAGAGAGAGAGAGAGAGAGAAGAGGGTGATGAGAGAGAGAGAGAGAGAGAGAGGGAGAGAGAGGGTGATGAGAGATGGTAGAGAGCGAGGAGACAGAGAGGGAGAGAGAGGGTGATGAGAGATGGTAGAGAGCGAGGAGACAGAGAGAGAGAGGGAGAGAGGGAGAGGGTGATGAGAGATGGTAGAGAGCGAGGAGACAGAGAGAGAGAGAGAGAGAGAGGGTGATGAGAGATGGTAGAGAGCGAGGAGACAGAGACAGAGAGAGACTGAGGCAGAGGTGTTATGTAGGAGCAGTATATCGAGTCAGCTATCTGGCCCGTGGGCTGCACAGCTTCCCCAGTCAGGCGCTGCTCCGCCATCCCCCGAGCGCAGCACAGGCACATTTATTCCAACTCGTCGTTGACCCCGCAAGCTCCATATCTCTCCAAAAGTGGCTTAAATTAGCCGCAGGGTTGAGCACCAGACAAACAAAACAAACATGCAAAGACACCATTATGTATCTGCTGCTCTCTCCGACTCCCCAGGGAGGCCTGAGGAACCCACACTCTCCACACTGTTGCATGACACAGGGAACGACAGCAAGATGGGGCAGAAGGAGGGCAAGAGACGGAAACAACAAAACATGGAGGCACAAAAAGTGAGAGGAAAAGAGTAGGCGTGAGTATGCCTTTATCTATAAGGAACAGAAATGTGGCTGCAGGGCCTAGCCCACCCTGTACGATGACCCTCCTCCGTCGTTCTGTAGTTCTCCTTTCATACTTTTTTTTCTCCTCCACTCCATCTTCCCTCACATGCCCTCTTTCCCCATTCAGCATCAGAAAGCGCACTTCTCCCTCTCTAGCTGAATACCAAACATCCAGATATCTAGAGGCATCGCTTGAGGGAGACGCCTCGAGGAGCGTCGGTGACATGGCACGGTTGAACAGAGAATCCCATCGATATTGTCTGCATTCCTACTACACTTGGAGAAAACTTGGGTTTGAATGCTTGGGTGCATATACTTTCTGCTAGAATCTTGTTTTCATAATTCTTCCTTGATATTGTTTGTCAAAGCTTTCTACATTTTGAAAGAAGCCAGTGTTCCATGTTAAGGGTGTTTTGAGCCCAGAGCACCAACAGAATTAGTGCTACAAAGCCAATTCTTGTTGAGTGAGTAGAATATAAATGCCTGAGTAACACTGCAAACAGAAAACTGTGGTAAACACATTTGAACACTCCATTGTTTCTACGCTATAAGCTCACCTCTTGCTTATCAAAAAAAGAGCACACATTAGCACAATCTCCTCCTGTGCCACCAGTTCACTTTCTTCACAGGCTGGACGGGACCACAAGACACAAATGTTGCTTTCCTCTTTTCCTCTCTCCAACACCACCCCTCCCCTCTGTCTCCCATCACACAATATTTCATGCTACCTCCCTCCCTCACTCTCTTCTTGCATTAAATGATACTGTTTATACACACCCAGCATCTATCATCCCATTTCACACTTCCCCCGGCTTGTTTATCTGCCTTGGGTGCTGGGGAGACATGAAGGCACACTCTCTTCTTCTTTCCCTCTCTCATCCCCCTTTGCCTTCCTTCCTTCTCTTCTTCCCTCCAACCACTGCTGACTGCTCGTGGCCATTGATATACGAGGGCTTATTAAGCCCTGGCGGTCCTGTTTGATCTACGCTGAGGGAGTTTGGGTGGCGGCGAGGAAGTGTAGTAAAGACACAAGTCATTTACTTCAGTACTTGTTGTCTTATTCTCCTGGGTCTGGTGAAGATCCTGCTTGAGGCAGCTTCTGCCAACTGCTCGATCTCGCTGCGCGCTTTACCTTCTGTAGCCGTTTGTGTTTGGTAATAAACGTTTGCAAGTGCCGCATTGGGGGTGACAAAAACAAACACTGCTGTGGTATCTGAGTCCCCCAAAGAACGCGGTTAGGGGATTTGTGCGGCGATCAATGACAGCCTGCCTTTTAGTCACCTCCTCAGAATGTTTTCATTCACACAAGAAACCAGGTTACAGGGAGGAATGAGGAAATCACGGTGTTCACATGCAGTGCAGTAATCTTGTTACTGTGAATCTTGTGTTTACTGTATTCAGCAGGTCAGTTATTGGATTTCATTCCTATCCCCTGCTGTATTTTTGAACGGCACCTTTTGAAGGAAATTGTGACACAATATGATGCTGCAGAGTCTGAAGAAAGTTGTGTGCACGTCTGATTTTTTACAAAGTAGAGTCTTCTGTTCAGCAGTGGATGTCAACGTCTCGTAAATCTGACTATATATAATTATTTTGGGTGCACTACAGCGAGGAACGATCGTTTCTTTAATCCCTTTCAGAGTGACAACATCTTTGACTAGACTAAGTCTTAGTCATGCACATGTGCACATTAGAACCATGTAGGAGTTCAAACATGGTCGATAACAAGTGTTTTTAAAAGCAATGTAGCCCTGGAGTTCCTGTAAACCTTTACCCCAGATAAGGGAAGCTAGGAATTCAGGTGTCTCGTTTGCATGAAGTTTAAAGAACGAGATAATTGCAGAAAGGTGTCAATAACCAGGTTACTAAAGTGAAGGTAAGCACACTGATTGACTCACCGTGTGAGTGAAGCCTGATTAATGCAAGTGATTTAGTTTTAAGGTGGGAGGGTGCTACACAGTTTAAGGAGGGGGAGTACACTGAAAAAGACAAATCTCGAGCACCGCTGATCCAAGCTGGTGTGTCTGGCAGGTGCAGTGAGAGTGTTGTGCAGCGATGGGCTTTAAGCATTTCCTTTGAAGTCAAGTGTATCATGGCTGCCCACTATAGCCTCCTTCGCACCTCCCTCCCCTTCTCAGAGCGAAGGAGTGGGGGATTAGTGTGTGTGTGTGTGTGGGGGGGGGGGGGGGGGGGGGGCTTTAGGGACATTTAAAGCAGTATTTCAAGGGAATCAGGCCTGCTGTAGAGACTCCCTAGGCCATGTGACCAGGCCTTCGTCTCCCTCTTAACTGCAGCCACAATAATCAATCTCCTCTGCTCTCTTCACGGTGAAGAAAGATAGGGAGCGGGAGAGAGACACAGAGAAGCACAAAAGAAAAAGAGCTGAGAGGGGAGAGAGAAGAGAAAGAAATAGGTGAAAAGTCTGGGATTTGGTTTCGGACATCACTCGCTCTCTCTCTTCCTCTGTGGTTGCCCGTGGCCCAGCTACTGAATATGCATGCCCCGTGAAGTGGAGGAGCCCAGAGCAATCGCAGACTCTCATCCTTCCTGCAGTGAAGTTTACCCCAGACCATCCCATGGAGAGCAGGGCCTCCGCGTTAGTGCTGTTTGACAACTGCATGGGGTCTGCACCTAAAAAGCCCTGAGTCTTGTATAAGCATTGTGAAGAGATCTGCGTGAGGCCCTGCTGGCTGCCGAAATGGCAAAGCTGGATCTCTGATGTCATAAGGGAGTTATCAGGACAAACTGCAATGACTTTTAGAGGCGGCCGTATTAAAGGGTAAGTGGTAGTAAAAACAACAACAGTTTGGCTTGCCTCTGCCATTTTGGAAACGATTGAGGGGCAGCGTGGATAGAGTCAGCGGAAGGGTAATTAACTGAAATAGTTTGTACGAAAAACGAAAAGGTGACACGTACAAAATATACAGCACAGGCTCAGGCAAAACTCAATTTCAAATCCCAGAGGGGCCTTTACTCAGAAATCAAAAAAACTACCATGAGTTATGCTGTCAGGCCTGTCAGGGAATGGAAATGTTAATTAATGCGTGCGTGTGTCTCTTACATAATTAGCAGTGGTGTCAGCTCCTTCGTATCTGAGAACAGCCACGACAAAGCAGAGGTACTCCTGCGAACTGGTCAGCGGCTTGTTGTAGAAGCCGTTGTACCTCTTCTCATCACCCACGGTGAAGGTGGTCGGCAGTGAGGCCAACTTGGCAGCAATGTACGGCTTGGAGGAATCCAGGTGACGTCGGCGCCTCAGGACAGGGCCTTCACTGGACTTGAGCAGCTGTGAGAACATAGAGAGCAAAGCTTAAGGTCATGTTTGGTAAACAAAGAGTCAAAGTGAGTAGGACCCTGACCTCTGATCTCCTTTATGAGAAAAAATAATTAGTAAAGGCACCAGCAAAGTAACAAACATTCACAAACTATATATGCAGGTCTGGTTATTAGTATGCTTCCAAATAAGAGATAATGAATCCACAAAGCTGAAATGACCTTTGCTCAGTGATACAACTTCACAAACAATGCAGCCAAGTTACGAAGTGAGCAATTAGCGCTTGCTCCAGCACACAATCTCAGCATGACTGCCAGCCTGCTTAATAAATGAGCAGGAGCACACAGCACTGCACCATTGTGTTTTCAGCAGCATTTTGTTTTCTGTCAGTGATGTCTCATGTGCTCCTCCAGATGTAGCTTTATTAAATCATAATGTCGGAGGGAGGAGACAATGGCCTGCTTAATGTTTAATGACTCAGGGAGTCCCATCTCTCTCCCTCTCTTGGTCTCTTCTGCTATTTCTTCAGGGAGCTTGAACAATAGCGATCCAAACCAACGAGCTTCGCAGTTTACTTAAAAATGATGCTATTAATACTTAGGCATGTCATTTAGCTTCTATTCTCTTGGGGACAAGGAAGACCTTTATTCAATTGAATAATAAAGCAGTCATGAATCTTTATCCTCATTTGAATACCTTATGTAAAACTTTGTTTGGAGATGCCAAACCCCGACTATTAGGACTAGAGAGAAACATGTGGAGGTACAGCAGGTATTCTTAATTACTGTTTTGAAATATGCTACTCGCTTAACATTTACATTAATAGCTAAATAAGATTAACATTATTCTATTTATTTTTGTGCACTTGGATTCAGCAGATGGGAACTGTCTGCAGACTTGGCGTCCAATCAGGACATTCCCCACCTACCCGAGTGAGTCATTGTTTGGTAGAGCCAATTAGCTACAACCAGTGTCTTCCTACCCAGTTGGAACGGGAGATGCTATTGGTGACCTGTGACCTGGCACATTAGCATATCAGCCACCGGCTGGCACTCACCTCGTCCAGGTCCATCTCGTCTGGATTCTTCCATCGCCGGGTTGACTGAGACACCGGCACCACCACTATGTAGTACCACCTGCCAAGGAAAATAAAGCTTGTGTAAAGAGAGACTGACTGAAGCAAATACACGCTGAGATCAAAGCGGGCCAAGTGCATTAATAACACAGTGAAAACATTTAGTAAGACGTACTTTCACTGTGAGGCTTGCTGGGCGGAATTCAAAACTTGAGTGGTACACAAGCGGGTCCTACCAAGGTCGAACACCAGCAGATTGGCACTGCATTCTCCAATTAATGGCTAATCACTAAGAACATCTGCCATGTAGACTGGAACAAACACTATTCCAGTGAGACGAGCCTTCAGCTTATAGAGATCCCCGTAGGATTCCTTGGGTTAATAGGATCAGCTATGTGACAACTCGTGTGTTCTTTTATCATTAAAGAGACCAAAAATAGAAGGAGAAGAAAGACATCAGTACGACATTTAGGAGGTTAGGGTCAAACTAAGGAGTAAGGTAACTAGTGGAGGAATGTGCTTGTGGGCACACAATGTACAAGCATCTGTGTCTGCGTTTATTTATGTGCTGGCTCTCTCTTGCTGTTTCTCTCGTGTTCTCCCCCAGCCTCTCTTCTCTCAGCTCAAAGTTTTCCCCCCACTGCGGCATTCAACCACTTGTAAAATCAGCTGCTGCTGACAGGGAAAGCAGCTGCTTCTCTCCCCTTCTCTCCAGGCCTCAACTCTGTGATTCAACAGTCAGTCAATTCTGGGAGTGGGAGAAGACATGTATAACAAGACTCCTCAACCCCCCCCTCTCTCACCTACACACACAGACCTCCACTCTCCCATACCCAATCGCTTGCGCTCTTTGCCTGTCAATCTGAGCTGGAGCTTGGCCAGCCCCGACAGCCCTGTAATCTTTTTACCAATCAACCCTGTGCACTCCCCTACTCTACAGATGTGTCTGTAAGTGTGTATCTGAAGGAAAGGCTATACTCGTCGAGGTCAGGCACAATCCTGCTCTCAACAATTTGAGTCAAAAGATAATACAGCTCCACCCGATGTTAAAAGCCTCGATTATCATCAGCCGCTGTGTCACGAAGTCGGCTCAGATTAAAAGTTTAAGTTTTAAGTTTCAAAATAGGTTTAGTATTGATCAGATACAAGTGTGCCACTTGTGCTACTGTTGCTGAAGGTAAGGTTGTTCAGAGTTGCAATTGAATTGGCGCCCGAATGATAACAGCTACGTGTCCGTGGTCCATGGTCACAAACAAGCCCCAAAATATTCACATTCCAAGTACAGATTCATGTGTTCATTTATTGTCTTGTTTTAGTAGTGTTTATACATTTTAACCTTTTATCAAATTAAATTGTAAATGCACTTTTTTATCAACGATCAACAATTAAATGATTCATGGATTTAACTGCTGCATGATTGCTGTTTAGCGCATTTGCACAAATGTAAATATGACTATGTTCTATTACTATTAACTGTCAATAATATATAGGTCCCTGAAAGGGGTTTATAATTCATAAAACTGATCCCTGATTGAAAGCTTGGTCACTGTGGCAGCCAAGAATCAAACAAAAATTAAGCTACATGACCCCTTATGCTAATTGTTTTATTCCTAGAGTCTCAGCTAGTCTGTGCGCACAGTTCCAAGTGTACTGACCTGACACGTGTGGTGGTCTGGACCTTGGGCAGGTTGATGGTCATCTTGCCACCCTGAACCTGATGTGTGCTGGGCTTAGTCTGGATCAGGTCTGGGGCAGTGCGGATGGACACCTGCTGCTGCAGACCTCCAGCAATGTTGCCCCTGCTTGTCAGCACAAAAGAGTAGTCTGTGTCTGGCTGCAGCTGCGCGATCAGCTTCCTCTTCAGGTTTCCCTGCACTTCCACGCTTTGCTGGTTGTACAAGATCTGTGAGCACACAAGGAAAAACTTGGAGTTATAGTTTAAGTAAACATTCAATTCACAAAATGTATATCCTCCAAACAAATGCAGTACTCTATTCTAACTATTCCAACTCCCTCCAACACACAGAGACGCACACATGGACAAAAGCAGTATGGTCCTAAGGGAGGCACCCATCTCATCTGACACCTCATCTCATGTCCCCCAATGTCACACTTGCCCATTGGAGCATAACCAATAGTTTTTTACACTTCGAATTGTCTTCGCTCCATTACCGTGGGGGTGGGAATTGATATAATATAATTCTGACAGATTAATACGCCTCATAAATGAGCCTGAATCTGGCTTTTCAGATTTTTCAGTGCAAAGACAATGCATCACACCCTGGTGAAAATTTTAACAACTGTCTCGTTGCAATACAATTATTTTACAATTATATGTAAAGTGTATGTTATACATTGTGTAAAAATTACAGTAATACGTTTCCAATGAAACCATTGTTGTATTATATTTTGGTGTTTGAAAATTAGCGATTTTACAGTGATATATATATATATCATAGTTAATGAAGTTGTTTAAAAGTCATCATGAAGGTAAAGTCTATGTCTATGCAATTTGTGTACATGGTTGACATCTCGGTACTGACCTTGAAAGGTGCCTGGGATTTGTAGTTTTGTGGCAAATCCCAGGTGAGGAGGACAGAAGTTTTCATGACTGCTTTGACACCAAAATTCAGGGTGGGAAAATCTAGAGTGGGAAAATTCTTCGATTAAAATCTCAAGTAAGACATCTTGTACACCACACACTGTAATCTCTGCACTTAATACAATTTCACACTACTTCACAGCATATTCCACGGCGATACCTTATGACCAAACTTGACAAGCCACAGGGGGTAGAAAGAACATCAACAATCTCATTCACGCTTAGTTATAGATCACACAAAAATAGCCTTCATCTCCCCAAGCCTATTTCATATATTACACCCTGTTCACAACGAGACATGCGCAACAGGCAGAGATCTCTGTGATCACCAACAGATGTATATGGCAGTGGGAGTGGCAACATGTGTCGTAAACTAGACATCTCTCACAACTCAGGTTATAAATAAGAAATCTTACGTATAGAAGATTATAAAATGCATGAGGAGGTACATGCTGGGTATGCAGCAGATTTGTGTCTTATGGGTGGGAGGATGAGGAGGCATGGTAATGTGACTGTAGCGTGTAATGAGATTAGTTCTCTATAAATCAATAAACACAGTGCTGTACAGTACTGTGGTAGATGAGGAAGACGGGGCACTGATAACGACAGAAAAAGAGCCAGCCATAGTGTTCAAAAGAAGCAGGTGATATAATGTTCCTGTATATGCTCACTTATGTTGTGGGCAAGGTTGCGAGTGTAACGATTATGTGTGCCTGTACTAAACCATGATTCTATGTTTTCAAATCAAACATCTCTGGCATGTTTATGTGTAAATGTCAGCCATGTGTCCTACCAATGGACATGGTCCTGCTCTGAATGCTGGGGCTGAGGGGTCCCCCGCCCTTACTGGTGAAGGCCTGTACCCGGATGTCGTAGGTGGTGTCAGGATTGAGGCCCTGGATAGTCATGTGCGTGTCGGCCGTGCGGTTTGTGCTGTTCTGCTGACTGTTGATGTCCCTGTACACAACCACGTAGTGTACGATCTTCCCGTTCCTTTCGGCAACCAGCGGGGGCTCCCATGTCAGCTGGGTGCTGGACTGGGTCAGTCCTGTGACTTGAAGGTTGAACGGGAAGCCTGAGGGCACGTTTTCAGGGGTGCTGATCTCCTTCACGTAGGCCTCACCGATGCCTGCGCGGTTCCGGGCGCTGAGACGGAAGATGTAGGTGGTGCCTTTGTGCAGCCCAGTGACGGTGTAATGGTCGTCGGTCTTTCTTAGCTCGCGTGAGGTGTAGGTTTCCTCATCGGTGCGCTTGTACTGCAACTGGTAGCCCATCAGCTCACCCACCATTTCCTTAGGCGGCTGCCACTGGATCAGCGCTGTGTTGCCATTAGTGGGGTTGATCATCATAGCGGGCTTGCCTGGCACTGAAAAAAAGATTGAAGTAGAAACAAAAGAATAAGTAAGAAGAGCCTATTTTAAACAACCCTAACATTTAATTTTAATAGCTCAACATTTTGGGAAAGCTGGTTATTTGCTTTATGGCGAAGAGTTAGATGAGAAAATTGATATCATTCATCTGTCCGTTGAATATAAATCTAGAGTCAGACGATATGAAGGTTACATGCCTTGCTCATATCACTTCAATAGCAGCTAGTTATGGTAACTAGTCGGGGTGTTGAAGCTAACATACATGTAGCATCCTACTAACACTACCAAGAAATTCTCGTCACGTCTTCTGATCATTCTACAAGGGTACAGAGGTTATCAGTTTTAAGCCTTCAAGATAATACCACAGTACTCACTGTAAACACATATCCTGTGATTTACACGATAAACATGATAAAACCAACTCTGACCTGCACCAGTAGTGGTGATGACTTTAGCTTTGCTGCGAGCTCCGTCTCCCTTGGTGGTGTACGCTGCTACAGTGACAGAGTAGGTGGTTTCAGAGTGCAGTCCAGCAATAATGGCCTCCTGCAAAATGGAAAAATCACAAGGTCAGAGTTTAAAAGGAATCAGTGAGTCTGAGCGGGACTGCCTCGATGGCAAAATAAAATAAAATATCACACCAAACCAAAAACCCCTCTCACACAAGCTCCTATCCCCTCACAAATCACACAGCACCAAAATAAACCAAGATGAAATTTTAACCCTCTGCTGTATCCAATTTGCCTATGATATGAAACAAAATGTGAGCATTTCACAGAGAAAGGTTTTGAAGGCACACAAACAGGACCAGGAGCTTTTCTTAGTCAAGAAAAGCTCCTGGGCCCGATCGTAAGGCACACTCTGAACCCATTAACCAACCAACCAACCAAATGAACAGGAACCCCACCAGTGTATCAGTGTTCATGTCTGCTGCATTGATAAGCATGACATTGTACCCAGAGGAGCTTGGGATCATCACTACACTGCAGACTATAAAAACCCACAAATTGTACTCTTCTGACTGTGGGAATTATTGTAAAAACTCTTAATAAATCTTAAAGACAGACAGATGTTACGTATTTAATTTTCTTAAGGATAAATTATGATTCAGTTAAATTCTTGGTATTTATTGTCCTCTGGATTCCCATGCAAGTTGGGTTGAACACAGACACACTAAGGTGGTCGAAGAAATCAGTAACTCAACAGCAAGGAACAAACACACAGCAGTACAAAAACAACAACAAGCAACTGAGGTAGCACACTGTTATTGGTAACCCGCTGCAGTGCTGGCACTCACTTCACCAGACTGCATCCATCTGAACAGAAAAACAAACCCACACACGCTAGAATTAAACACTCTGAGCTTGAACAAAGCCCACATGTAAACAGACACATGTGAATTGACATACTCACGGATGCAAATATATACTGTATATAAAACACACACTAAAGGCTGCATGCACGTACAAAAAAAAACACGTATGTTCACGTAAACAATGATACACGCGGACATGCGCACACACTCCATACCTAGAACAAATGAATGCCTGTGGCTTGAGCACACATTGTGGAGTTGTCAGTTTGAGACTGGGGCCACAGAGAGGACGAACACACAAATGCCTACAAGCCTTCCTGCCGGAACTCTGGGCAAACTTCTCATACTTGGAATTATTATACGGCTTTGCCCTAATGCTGTTTCTATAACTAATGAAGTATTCATTTCCTAACCATAGAAGAACCTTCAATGGTCTATATAAGCAGCTCTGTTTGACAATGCTTTTTACTGCTCCTCTCTTTAAGGGACATTTGGTGCTCCCATACTAGCCTTTAAGGGAGACAGGGGAGAAAATGCTAAATTACTGCATCATAAAACCATTTTAACTTTATGGATAAAGTCTCATTATTTTAATCATACAAAATGGCTTTAACAGTCTCAGCAGTGGCAGCCGAAGAGATCTTTTTCCTTATTCTGGCAAGGTCAAACCGGGTCTAGTAACACTTTTGAAACTCAGCAGAAATGGAAAAAGCAAGGCTTTAAAGTTTCCTTCAGAGCAAATGCTTAGAGCAGCACCAAAGGGCATTACGGAGATTATCAAGTCTACTAGTTATAGAAATGGATTCTCCCTACACCACCATCCTCACTTGGGTAGAAAATGTCAGGGGGAAAAGGGAAGCATTGTTTAAGCAAATATATATGCTTCAGAAGTTTTTTTTTTTTTTGCTAAAGCACATTTTAGTTGTGTTATATTTCTATTGATTCAAATTAAAAATGGTGCTACTTACTCTCTGTGAACATGCCATGGGTCCAAAAAAAATATGCTAATGTTTTTGCTGTTGACATCTGTCTGGCGCCAAATTATGGCAGCTGAAGAAAAATAAAGATGTGTGAGCAGATGTCCTCCTCTGACAGCGTCTAGCTCTGTCAGGTGCTAATCAACACATTAAGAGGAGAGGAAGCAAGCGTGACTCATGCCATGTGGGTGTAGCTGATGGAATCTGGCCATGTTGCTGTGCAAAGAGATTTCGGTTTAACTATAAAATAAATAAAATGATCTGTGCACATTCCGCTTTTGTAAAGAAAGAAACATCCAGTGCTGATGTATCAACAGGTGACCCAAAAAACATTTGCAGGCGGTCACTGGATTGATTAACTAGTTTTCTATGTTTTCTGTGAGAGAGGGAATTTGAACCCCAACTTGCTCAAAGTAATTGCTTAAAAACAATAACCCTTTTTTTTTTAAACAACTTCTTTGCCCTTGTTTGAACGCTGACTACATTATTTGTTATTCTGGCAGGTTTCTATTGAATTTCTGACTAGGAACAGTAAGTGTTTCTGCATTTTTTGCTAGTGCGATACGACATTGAGGAGGTAATAAACCATAACAAAGGGCTGTGTGACAGCCATGGAACAGTGAGCTGCCATCCAGGCAAATGAAAAAAACATGAAAGGCTGGTGGCAATCTTGGAGATGTGTGGCGCTGATAAAACACACAGCTCCCCTACTCGGATATACACGTCATCTGGAACAGTACGGGAGACAGCAGGTTAGGCGAGTCTGATTAATGTCAGCGTCACACTGGGATGGTGACACACAGCCTTTGACTGCACTGTACACTCAGTGACGGGGGGGGGGGGGGGGCGCTGCTTGCTCACTGCAGTAAGTGCCTCAGATCCGAGTGAATGCCCAGCTGTTACTACGAGTTTGTCTTGTGGTAAAATGTTGACATATAGGACATCTTCGCGATCATCACTGAACATAATCCTCACGCTTTGTGGTTGCAGTAGCTCCTGGAGAAGATCACTCCCGCACACATAAGAATAAACATCAAGAATCATTAGGACACACGTCTCTTGCTGTGGTTATGATCTTTCATGAGAATTCACACCGAGTGGATTACAAGCATTACACAGAAATAAACACACACACGCAACTCATAAACCAAGCACACACAGCACCCTCAAATTGCAGAGGGGAGAAGAGCCTGCCCTGCAAGACAACCCAGCAGCACACATGAGGGTTACTCACATGCTCGGTGGACTCCTCAATATTCCACTGATGGGAGAGAAGACACAGGACACAGGATGGGGAGAGAAATGAGTCAGGGACAACACAACAAGAAAAAAAGCACTTGTCTTTTTTTCACTCAGAGACTGATGATTGTTGGTGTCAACATGCAGGAGAAAACACACATAGAGGTGATGGAAGTGAACGGGTGAAAAAAGAAAGAAATGGAGACAGGTTGAGTGGGATAAAACAAATTGTGAAGCCAAGTTGAGCAATGGTTGAGAAATTCACTACTGTTTATGATGCACTGCCTTGTTTCTCATTTGCCTATAAATCCAATAAAAAAAAATGCTCTCTTCCTTAATCACAGAAAACAACTATTCAGTGTGATAACTATCTCATGGTGGACATAAAGCATAAAATATGCAGAATCTCTGAAGCATTTCCTCTTTCCTCTTTCCAGAAATGGAGGTAGGGCCTTTTATTCATTATATTTCAATATGTTTTCAAAATGTTCTCCTTGCTCACTGTGCTTGGCCAAGTGATTCCCGAGGGAAGTGAAAGCCCATTCTGTGCCGCTGGGCTCCGTCGGTGCCGAGCGTGAAATCCTATTACCGGTGCTGCTATGCTAGCCCTGTGACATCAAACCCCATCGATGCAGAACGCAACTGCTGGTGTTTACCAGCAACTCGCAACACAGTTCAGCTCCTGCAGAGGAGTTCACTGATGGGTGGTTTGGCTGACAAGGGGCAGGAAAGATGACACTGGTGACACTGATGTGGGACAAAATGGAGAGGAAGCTGGGCTGAGGAAGAAAGGTGGGTGAGGGTGGTGGCGGCAAGCAAAGACATCTGGACATTACGGTGTCCAGATTTGAGAAATCCATGTTAGAGATTTTCATAGGTTGCCCCTATTCAATACAATGTAGGTGAATGGATTTATATTGGGTTTGCACATGTCATTGAAAAAAATCAACAGCCATGTATCCTTTCAGCCTGTGCAGTTAAAGCAAGACAACATTAAGTGTCATCAGTCAAATATCAAGACATTGAAAGATGAGACTTAAGTTTACTTGTAAGTTGACCCTGGGAGGCCCAGCAACAATCTACTGTATTCATTTATTACATTTTTTTTCTGGTAGAAATGTTATTATGCCTATGCTTAGTTTAATGTAGACCACCAATACAGGCCTAGGAAATTAAATATCACTCGCAATATTGGCAAGAAAAATTGCATTTAGATATTTTTCATCAAATTGTTCAGCCCTTGAGGCGGATATGTTTCTCAAAACTTTAGCAAATAAAACCAAGTATATATGTTTTAGCATGTTTTAGATTTAGCATCTAGCATTAGAGGTAATTGAGAAAATTTGTAATTTAGGTGAACTGGTCCTTTATGAAGAAGAAAATGAAGTTTATACAGTAGAATAATAATTTCAAGACCAGCAGTGTTGCCTGCCTTCCTGCTTGCCCATCTTTCCCTTCTGGCCTCTCCAGACTCTTTCAAAACAAAGGGAGTGAGCCTCACACACCGCTGATTCATTGTGCACTGGAGACGTGTTCATCATCCTCCATTGACTGGTGGCATATGGAAAGACAAAAGACCAAAGTTCTCTGCCCTCCTCCCTTCGGATGGGTCTCTATCAACAACCTGCTAACTGAAGCATAAGGCAAAACCTTTCTAGGGTCCCAGTTGCGACTGGTCGAGACACTTGCATCAAGAAATGCTGCCTCGTGCTCCCCTGATGTAGCGGGGCACTAAAGAGGACCATTTAAGAACAGCTGCTACTTAACTCCATGAACAACGGTTTGCGGCGTGCCTAATTGCTTAATTTGTTTACCGTCGACTCCACTCAGTATGTCAACAGAGCGGCGAACACATTAAGGTTCGCAAGAGTTCCTATCTCATCTTGGGCCTAATCCCTTTCTATCGCAACTGCCTTTGCTTTCTGCTTAAATCCATGGGAGAATTATAAATTATCCCCCATTTTTATTTCGAATGCCAACGCAAGCTGAAAACACATCATTGCTGATAAGCGTCGTTTGTGAAAACGGAGCAGTATAATTTGCAGGCGAGTGAATGCAAATGTGATGACATGGGCTGAGATGTGTGGCTATAAAAATGGGAACGAGGGGGGAACGAGTGATGTGGAAGAGAAGGAGCTGTCATGATTGATGGAGTGAAACGGGCTGAGGTGCTTCTTTTCTCTTTTTTTTCCCGATTCACATTCAACTCCAATCTGAGGCAGTGAAGGCCGTGGATGCAGTGAGGCATTGCCTCGCTCGCTCGCTTCCACACACAAATGCACACACACCACGGAAACGCATGAGTGGTCAAACTAAATGAACCTGGAAAAGTAGTGCTGAATAAAGGCAAACTTGTGCAAAAAATGTATAGATACACAAACAGTGGCTAATGGCTTCAAACTCAATCAATATATATATATACATGTTTTTCGAAACACATGGGCCTATAGGTTGCTGTGAGTGCACAGGGATAGAGCAGGCTATGTGGTGTGGAGTTGCCCACTCAGGTTCAGGCCACTTTCCCAATAGAAACATGGTTTAAAAAGGGGTTGATAACATCACACTGTTAACATGGCCTCTGGTTTAAATTTAGCAGGGAAATGAGGGCGGTGTGTGGGCTCCTGCTTGAAAAGAAAAGAGGCGCTTTAACCGCCTACGCACAGGCAGGCTCTCCTAGTTCTCCTCCCAGCGTTTCAGCTAACCCTGAGAGAGGGTGAAGAGGAGAGAAGGAGCCAGAAACGGAGAGACAAAGACAAGGTGAGGGGGGTCACAGCGATTTTGACAGCATCTGCAATCCAAAAAATATGCTTAGATTTGTGATTGAAGCCTAAAGGTGAGCTTGTGCCATGTTGTGAGAGCTCTGAAAAATGTTTGTTTTTTTCCTCCTGGCAGGCTTACTGTGCATTCAATGCAGGTGAAAGGGTGGATATGGAACTGATTTCACAACACATTAGGTAAATTCTTGAGAAAAACACTGGAAGAAAATCGTTTTTCCCCCTGTTATTCATCATCAATTACAGGTGTGCATTTGTGGGATTTGCATGAGTCTCGGATGAGTCATGAACTCTTCTCAGCCAGCTGGAACGCCTCCTGCAAGGATTGATCTAACAGCGAGCATGTCTGCTCATGTTATCTGCGCTGTTTTTTCCACATGTTGTTGGGTTACGGGAATGAAAAGAAGTGTGAGAAAAAGAGGGATTGTTCTCAAAACCAGTTGAGCGGACGTGGATAAGGGAGCGTCTGCTGACTGTGTGGTCTTTAACGACGTCCGGGCAGGTCCTTGCAGGTTGGCTACGCGGCGCTATCTCATAGAAAACAAACCGTTGAGATGATTCAATCAAGGGTAACCGACCTGCACGCAAGCCTCTGGTAATTACTCAACCGGCTTCTCAGGCAGGAAGGGTGCAAAAGGAGGACACGAGAGGTGGAGAAAAGGAAACAATAGGAGGAGGGTGGAAAGTCAGGTTACTGCCAGGGAGGGAAAGGTGAGTTTAAGAGGTGTCCCGGAGATCAAACTGGAACATGAGAGCTATCCTGAGTGCCAAATTGCAGCGTGTCTTCGTGTTTATTGTGTGAACCTGGCACAAATGAAACATGGCGGGGAGTATTGTTTGCACAAGTAGGGTCGTGTTCAGTTCAGCAAGACAAAGTCACGCTACACATGTCCAAAACACTTCCAGGAAGACAAGAAGCCCCCATGTTTTTGTCTTCTTTCAGATCAAACGATGCGGCCCTGGCTGCCAAGCACTCTAGTTCACAGTCACATTAAAAATGAACTGTCAACAGCAGCTGCCAAGAAATACTACTGTGAAACAAAGGTGTTGGGCTGTGTTTGGGAGTTGAGGGTGGACCATTTAGCCAGAGCCTAACATCATGCACAGTTATTCTCAGCTCTAACTGGGCATACTGACCTTAATGTTAATTCGATACTATAAAGTCGCATGAGAGATGTGCCACTTGGGTCGCCTGACAACCACACAAAAAAAATACTCATTATGTATTTATCACTGAATGCCCGGTTACACTACTGGGATCAACAAGCTCCTACTTAGCCTCACTTGGTATGTAGCACATCGGACAAGGTGACTTTGAGAGTGCTTCCTCTTCTGTAATGATAAGACTGTGGACAGCGGAGTGTTTGCCAAAGCAAATTAGGGTTAATACCCCACTCAAGGGCATCGCAGTGTACACTGCCTGGGAACTGAACCAGCAACCTGTTGGTCTCCCTAAATACGGCTGCAAAGCATTTATTGGCAAATGCTGCTCAGAGACTCATACGAGGCTGTCCTGATTTTTTTTAGCGATGTTCCTGCGGCCAGGGAGCGCTTACTTGTTCAAATGAGATGTTCATGTGTTAGGCCATCGGGGGTGCGAGTGAATGCGTGTTCGCGCAAATGTTACTCCCGGCAAACAATCAGAAGGAGGCTCTTAAGCTGGTCTCTCCTCTCCCGAAGAGAGGGAAGACGTGAGAGTGGGGTTTTTGGTTTTAAAATATTCATGAATCTCTGAATCCCTCTTAAGGATTACAATCTCTCATTCACCTCATGGTGTCACATAGCTTTGGGCGATTCGGAGCAGCCTGCATTAATGTGTTAAGGGCGGTGTCAGGAAAATAACTCTAATTTATAAACATGGTAACAAGGCAGTGCATATGTATTACTGCTAAAACCCGCAAAGAGAGGTGCATTGATCCCACTAAGCCCCGTCCTGATGTAACACATATAAAATATTTAATAGCTATTACTGTAGAATTAGAATGGATCTTGTTTTACGACAGCTAATCCAAAGCTCTGGAAGCAGGCTACCAATTTAGAGTCAAATGTCACATGTGGAAAAAGATGAAAAAAGATGAAAAAAAGATGAAAAAAAGGGGGGGGGGGGGGGTACTGCAGTAGGCAGAAAGAGAATTCCATGTGTGTCACCCAGTATGGGGGAAATGAAGTGTGAACTCAGAGAACGGAAGGGAATACGGGAGCGGTGGAGAATGAAAATAATGGGAAATGAACATAAGACAGCTATCGACAGTGAATGGGAGACAGAGAGAGACTGAACAAGAGTAAGACATCTTCCAGTACCTGTGCCTCTGGCAAAGCAACGTCCATGATGTTAGGGTGGCCTCGCGGTTCACCGTTTTCGAGGCGAGAGAAAATGACTTGGTAGCCACGGATTTGGCCGTGCTGCTTCCCCTGTATGGGCGGCTTCCAGGTAACCCGGATTGCTGTGGAGTTTATGGCCTCAACCTCGAGCTTCCTGGGGGGTGCTCCAGGCACTGGAAACCAGGAAAAAAAACGAGAAGGGGGGGGCAAGAGTAAGACAGAAAGAGAGAGACAGACGGGGTGAGAGAGAGGGGGAGGGAGTAATGAGTCAAAATATGCTGAGTTTGTGATTTTCCTCACTTGAATGTGTTTTGTGACGAGGAGCCAAAAACCACAATAATGAGTCCTGAGTTTTTTTTTATAGACTTGAGTGCTCTGTTGAAGGAAATTATACTCGATCTGGCCAAGAATCTAAATGATCTCCACTCAGCTTAGACATTCTATATCTACCATGTCCCCAAAACACCCAACGCCAGACTGCATGCGGTCTAGCGGTGTCTGTCATGTCCTTAATTTCAGTATGAAGTTAGCAGTGTTGCAGCAACCTTCAAACACATTAATTATAAAGGACTCTCTTAGGAGCAGCCACTCTCTATCACACTGCAAACAAAATGAGGAACGAGTGAGAGAAAGAGGCAAGAGCTACAGAATGGAGAGGGAGCGTTCTGCTCCACTTCTATTCCCTAAACCAGAGGAAAAGAAAACAAGAGGGAATTTAAACAGTGAAAACACAGGAATGAGGTGGAGAGCGTGGGCCCGCGGGTGATGAGCCTTAACCTGCCATAGATGTAGAAGTCTTAAAAGAGAAGGTGACCCACTCTCCCACCACTGTCGTCTCATTAACTCACAATTGATTAACAAGACAGAGAGAAATGTGCAGAAGAGGTTGAAGATAGTGACGGAAAATAGTGACAGGCAGCCCCAAGCAAAAAGAGTCGGAGAGCACTCTGCTAAAGGGGATGTGTCAACCTACCATCCTCTTTGGTCCTCATCCTCACTGGGGCACTCTCAGGGCCCGGGCCCACATCAGTGTGTGCCCTCACCCACACCTGATACTCAGTCCATTTCTCCAGGCCATCCAGCACATAGCTAGAGGCGTCTGCGCCGATCTCCATCACCACATGCCGGTCCGTGTCCTCCCCAGCCAGGCCCTGGTAGCTGACCGTGTAGCGCACGATGGCGCCGTGGCGGCTAGCGGCGGGCGGCGCCACCCAACTCACCTTGAGGCTGGTGGAGCTCAGGCTGACCAGATGTACTTCCTGAGGGGGGGCGGATGGGGCTGCAGGGGGAGGGGAGCACAACTACATGGACGGGAGCACGGATCAAGCAAACCAAAAAAAATAAAACACAGGCAAACACAAGGCAAAACTATGGAAGCTTTTTGTACAGGAGAGAATAAGAAAATGTAAATGTAATATTCAAAGTGTAATATTGAGTTTCACCACCTACAGTGTGTATAAAAAATTAAGCTACATATGAAAAGTGAAAGCATATTTTTCTTGCTCATCTGACACCATTGAGTAGATTATTTTATTGCACTGCATGTGTATTATTTAAATGAAAGACTAAACAGGGGCAGACATTACACATTACGCTTGGAAAATGAAAAGTGTTGAATCTGGAATTAGTCTTTTCAGTGAAAATGTTTATGCTTATTTATTGCCCCTATAAAGAAAGTGTCTTTTTCTTTTTCCCAGATCTTTGTGAGAGACCTGATATCAGGGTCCAGCCGACCTATTCCATGTTTTAGATATGTCATCTACCTTGTAATGAAAGCCTATTTCTGAGCTGGTGGAATCACAAATAATTAGCACTCATACTGTGTAGGTGATACTTTTAGTTTGAATATTACATTTTTATTTTTTATTATACTGAATACAAAAAAGCTTCCATACTAAACAGCATGCTGCCTCCGGACTGAGAGATTGGCTATAAAAACACATTACCAGGCGACTGCCGAAGCCGTGTTTGGAGCTGCATTTATGCGAGAGGCCATGAAACTACAGGGTGGGATGAACCGAATATAAAATGTGCCAAATTTGTACAAGGTTATGTTTTTATAAAGACGTAATTTGTCCCAAACTGCCCTCTCTGCTGCCTCTTGCAGCACGCCGAGGGAGCAGTAAACTGGCCATAGATGTGCGAGTGTGTGAACAAGTGCTTGACAGTGTTGACTGGTGTTCACACATTGATGCAGAAGCTCTGGGCTTCAAAGTGTTTGTCAGACTCTGCTCAGTGCTGCAGCTGAGATACACGGGACTGTCAAGTCATACATAAAGCTATCATTTCATAATCAATACGGTCATGAACATCCTGGCTATTGTCAACATCTGGTTTGTAGCCACCACGATGGAAAACAATATTGATGTAATATTTCAAACCCTTTGGATTTGAATGATTGCAATCAAACCGGCAATGTTGTAGCAAATACGGTTCTGGTATTAAAACTACTGCCCAAAAGGACATCAACGTTATATTTAATGTCAGGCATAATATTCACAAGGTAGATTCAATTATATTCCGTCCACCTCACCCTGCTATGTTTTATAATCACTAACTCCTCTGGCGTGTCCCAGTAAGTGTAGAAGCAGAAATAACAGAGTTAGAGTTAAGAGTTGCTCTGGAATAATAAGATTACTGCAATAAATAAGATTATTTACAACAGCCACAGTACAAAATATATGTAAGCTCTCAAGTCCAGAGGTAAAAACAGAAAACCAATAAACTATTTTAAAACAGGGAACAAGAACACTTAAATCAAACACAATAGCATTCATACGTTTCGTGCATCTAACTCAATCACAGACTTGTTCAACTCTACAACAACAAAAAACTATTCAAAAGAAAAAAAAACGAACCAAGAAAAAAAAAAAACAAGGTGTTCTTACAAATCATGCCCACGAATTTTCTCCTTTTTTTAATAAGCAGAGCAATGAACAGTTCCCTCAAATATGAATCCAATAGACCAATGCCAGAACATGAAACTCCACCTTTCCAAAACATTGAAGCTTAACAGAAGAGAAGTCTCCTCAGGTGGTCCCTGATCCACAAACGAGTGGACAGGAAGCTACAGAGATCCAACAGCACCATGTGTATTACAAAACAAGGTGACAGACTGAGTCAAAGTAAGGCTGCTGATTTGCAGAACAAATTGTGATAATGAGGTCCTGATGAAAAATATGCTGGATTAAAGTCAAATTGGACAATTTCAAAGCAAGACAAAGAGTTGGGCTTTAAATAGAGATTGAATTATAGATGAACACAATAAAATATCTCTACCTCTCCTTCCTCAAAATGATGAAGCTGAATATAAAATGTTTTTACTCCTGCAGTGTTTAACCACTGTAAATGAGATCATTTCCCGTTCGGTTGTAGGTAAAGCATCTTGCAACTGTCAAGTCCTTAGCTGAGTAGCAGAGTTGAAGTGTTTCATCATATATAAACAGCTGAGCTATGTTCATTGCTCTGAATCTTAAAAAAAATGACACATTTAAATGCAGCACTAGAAAATGTCACACTTTCCCTCTGCCATTTGCCTCAGAACCCTCTCAAGGCTGCTGCTTATTTCATGCACACCATCCTCCTGCCACATGAAATCCAAATTCTGTTCTCCCAATGATGTGTCCTTGTGACTCCTGCTGTCAAGAGGCCCAAGGACACAGACTCATCACCACTCGTGATCTCAATTGACAGTTATATAACTCTGTGGTTGTCGGAGGGGTGAGCTCTTCAATGAGTTTGTCTGTCCTAATAGGGAAAGATTTCACAAAGAGATATCAATACCTTCTGACCAGTCTGCTGAAGTCTCTTCTCTAGTTCTAGACTATTGCGGGGGGGAAACATTACACATCCGTGAGAGCTAAAATGAAGTCAAAATCTGAACTTCCTTTACTATTCTCCACTGTGATTTGTCCCCCACAGCCAGATAGCTTAGCAAGGCTGTGAGTGTGTGAATCAGCTGTTACTAATTAACGTTAATTCCATGAGTAACTTGATGGCAGACTAAAACTAAACATGTCTGTTGTAGGATTTGTGTGCTCTGTGTTCTGTGCAGGGCAAAGGCAAGGCAAACTTGTATTGAATGTAAGCCTCCTGGGTGAGGTGGTACAAGCATGGTGCCACCTCAGCAGAAATCAGCTGGCAGAGAGTGACATTTTGCGTGCTGGCACTGTAAAAGCACATAATGAAAAAAAATCACAGCACAGCTCACAAATGTGGGAACAAAACTCATATAACGTACCTTTGACACTGAACTCAGGGCCTGCCCTCAGATAGATGGACAGGAGGGTTAGTGTTGGTGACAGAGGGGAGGTGGTGGAAGCGCGAGGCTGACCGGGTTTGGCTGCACGGTCAGCATTTTATGCGGAAATTGACTTGACATTGAAGTTGCCAATGCAGCCTGACTTTAGCTCGATGGAACTCAACTTTCTCCTGCCTGAACCTAAACCTGCTTCAGCCGGCTGTCGGTGACCGTTGCTTTACAACACCGCTGGTTAGTGGACAACAAGGAGGTCAGACAACAGAGAGAAATCACAGACTTACTGGACTGGGCGGTGCGAGCCTCCATGGGCTGAGTATAGACGCCTAAACCCATCTCAGAGCGGGCTGCCAGGGAGAAGCGGTACAAGGTGTCAGGCTTTAGACCCTCCACAGCATAGGAACCGGCTGGGTTGAAGGTCACATGTATCTGGAGGGTTTCACATTAAACAGAAAGATGCCACTCAATTAAAGTCAAACACAGTTACATAAGTCTTTTCCTGTGTTGAGCCACTGGGGTAGTTGTTGTATCGTTAAAGCCTCGACTGTTGTCTCTCCTTCCTTCATGCCTACAAAGTAGAGAATGCAGCCAAATGTGAGAGCAACTTGTTCTTTACAACCGGAGCAGTAGTCCAGCAGATGTAAACAAAGGGCCGCAACACAGAGACAGAGCAGAACAACTTTGCTGTCTGTTACTATAGTGAATCTTTTTCATCACTGAGGAGTTGCATTACTACAATAACATTGCTTCAGCCAAGGCTTCCCATTCAGAGAAATTACATCATAAAGAGAAAACTGTGTCATACAATAGTTATAACTTCACGCTGCTGTTCTAACCTTGTTCTCCGAGCTGGCCTCCCAGTACTGCAGCTCATACTTAGTGATGAGGTCCTGTACGGGCCACAGCCACGTTAGCATTATGCGGCTGTCCAGCTCGGCTTCAGCCTCAAAGCTGGATGGCTGGGCAGGGACTGGGTACACAGGGGTGAGAGGACAGAGGTTGAAGAATTAAAGAAGAAAAAAGGCACATTACTGAAGCTTAATGTTCTCCACAGTGTCAGCAGCAATAACCTCCTCTACAACAATGAGTGTATGGGACGGCGTCTGCATGGCAAGAGCCTTATGAGCCCTTTCACACGAGCTGTAAGTACACACATGTAGCATTATTGCTTTAATGTAATTAATCAATTTTGGAAAAAAAAGGCAAAAAATAAAATGAATTCAATGTTGTCTCAGTTATCAAGGTTGCTACGGAGTTCTTGACTTTGACTTTAATATTTCATACACACACAAACAACATGATCACGTTCTTTATAAATAAAATGTGTATTGAACTACTAACTACACAACTAATTCATATAAATGAATTAATAATGAATGGATAATGAATAACTGGGGACACTGAATACAACGTCTAGAGCAGGTAGAATCAGTGTATGATCGCCTTGATGTTGACCAATGCACCGTTCAACAGCTGAGAGTTTAAGAACCACCAGGGATGATTGTGAAGCAATTCAATATTAATTCAAATTCTAGGGGAGACGCTAATTATCTTCTCAACCCCCTCTCAGCTGGGGTGAAGTTGTTGTGGAAGCTTTTAACAGACCGTGGTCAATTCAGAGTGTCTTTTCAAAGTCTCTTTTTTTTCAGTAGTTGCTGGAGGCCTGCATGGTCTTTGTGGTTTTATAGACTTCTGCCCAGGGGTCCAATGTCACTGGCGCGAAACGCTAACCACTCTCATCAATAAAACTCTTTGGTATCGTTCTTTTCTTTTTATGGAATAAGAATTAAGACAGAAGATAGTGGCCATAAAAAGGGGGATGGGGGTCCTACATTTAACAGTTTGTCCAAAAGTATTCTTCCTTGAGTTTCTGATTGTCTGTCTTTAGCCAGAAATCAGAATGTAAAGTCAAATAAAATACGTAGGCTAACTATACGTACCTAACTTAAGCTGCTACCTTTGTCTCGTATTATATGTCTGCATAATTGGTGGTGGTTACACAACCAGCACAAGCAGAATGGAACATTTTACATGAACATATACACATTAATTAACACACAGAGAAAATCACAGTAGTTTGCTGCTCACCTCCCTGCTGGGTTTTCACTTGCAGGATGTCAGAAGGTGGCCCGTCACCTACTGAGGTGAAGCCCAGCACCCTGAGGCTGTAGGTGATATCAGGAGTCAGGCCTGAGATGGTAGTCAGACTGCTGTCATCGGTGTTGTGTTTCTGCCAAGCGCTGAGCGGAGCCGTCAGGTCTGAGCTGTAGTAGACCCGGTAGCCCCTGATTTGCCCGTTGGGTTCCTCGGGCGGTTCCCACTGTACCAGCATTGTGCTGGCACTCAGCATGCGCGCTTGGACGTGCAGAGGTGGCGAGGAGGGGGCCTGTTCACCGGTGCGCGTCTCCACAGGGTCGCTGTGCGGCCCACGGCCAATGTTGTTGACAGCCATAACGCGAAACTCATACTCGGAGTAGGGGCTAAGTCCGCCAATGCTGTATCGGGTCGTGGCCACACCTTCCACTTCCTGGAAGCCATTGTCTGAGGTCTTGGCTCTGTACTGGATCATGTAGTAGGAGACGGGTTCTGGGTTTCCAGAGTCCCAGGTGAGAGTCACACTGGTAGCTGTGGTCTCGGTCACAATGAGGGAGGTGGGGGGCTTTGGCAAGGCTGAGGAGAGAGAAGCGGGGTATTAGCTTCGATATCAAGAATGGACTTTCAGTATGTGTGGCTAATTTGAGAGAAATTGGATGTCTGACGCATTTGATACCATGATTCTCAAAATGTAGGCACAATACAGCTAAAATCAGCTCTCATGGAAAAAAAAGGCACGGCTGATCATGTAATTCTCTGTTCTGTAACTCGTAGCACTGAAATGATTGTTTCATAAGCTAATCCTTCTAGTGCTATCAGCAGCCATTATTCCCAAATGAATAGAAAAGCTAGACCGAAATCCCAATTTTGTGTTTTATAACCGGCCTGGTCACGACTGACAATTCAAGAAAATTGCAAGAGTGGTTCCCGTTGTGACTGTATAACCAATACAAACAAAACAGAGAGTCTTCATAATGGCTTCCTTGAAGACGGGGGTTTGTATTGCTGTGGTCCTTCTAAATCACTGCGTATCGATCAGTTGAGTGGAGATTGGGATCAATACAGATGACAAATTATAAGAGAGGCTGCGATAGGTAGACAACACACTTGCATAGTTACATACACACAGGTGGGTGAAGCCACATTCACACTTAGATACAGAAAAAAAGGATTCAACAAACACAAAGAAAGAAACACAAAGCAGCCCTGACATTAACGGTCATTGACATAAAGACTTCGAACAGCAAAAGACTTTCATTTTAAACTCAAAGTATCAACAAAACACTGGCCAACGGCGGCACAAGGGCAGCGATGATTATGTGCAAAAGTTTCAGAGGCCCTTTGAAAGCAGTTTTTTTCTTCTTTTATAATATTTCATCATCAGATCAGTGGGTGACTCAAATGAACAGCAAAAGCAACACAGTTAGTCACAGCAACAACATCCCACATGAATACAGCAGCAGAGTCTGAACCCTTACCTTTGACAGTGACCTGAGCAGTGGCTTCGATCATGCCCAGAGAGGAGATGGCCACACAGGTGTAGTTGCCCGACTCACGGATGTTGGTGACCTCCAGCACGTTGCGTCCCAAAGGCATCTCTTCCTCCTTCGTCAGCTCCAGCTGACCCATCGTCCACTTAACGTAGGGCATCGGCGAACCCACTGCCACGCACGTCAGGTTGACGCTGCCGCCTGGCATCACCTCTTGATTGGTGGGTGGAATTGAGAATCTGGGTGGGACTCTGCGCACTGAAGGGAGGAAGAGAGGCAGAAAATGGTGAATAGGTAGGATAATGTCAGATGAATATGAAGGTTTTATGCTATTTCATGAATGGTCTTGCCCCATGACAAGGCTAAAAGCTAACCCAGGAAAGCAAAATCGAATGGAGGGCTGAACGCTTTTGTCCAAATGTGCAGGCAAGCACAATGGGAATAATAGGTCTGTTACAAAATGGCTCTGGAAATTCACAGTAAAACTTTCAGGGGGCGTTTTATCCTCTAGCCTACAAAAGGGGATATAATCAAAAAATAGCCCTGAGACTATGTCTGTCCCTCTTTTGTCAGGGTGTCAAATGGTAGCGAGAGTTGCATCATTGAGAGACCCCGTGGAGATGGCATTGTTTGATTTCTCCTCCCGCTCCCTCTCCTCTCTCTGGCTCCTTCTGCTCAGCCCGTCTTTCTCCCTCTCTTTGTGCAGTTCTGATATGCAGATAGGCTGACATTAAAAAGGGTTCCCATGGAGACTAGAAGGGCCCGTTGAAGTCGCCAGGGACGAGGCAAACACCGATGCAGCAGCTCCATGCAATACTGAGAAGCTGGCCCGGAATACAGCCAGGCAGCCAGCATTTACATATGACTTGTTTTCTGTCTAAATAAAGATACACAAGAAATTCCCGCCTTATTAACACCCTTCAGATCTTTTTTCTGGTAACTTTTGGCAAACATAACAAACTTATCCGCAAACTTAACTTCAGAGTGTTGTGTAAACATCCATCAGTGTCAGACCTGTTCAACTTATGAGATGACAAACATTTTCATAGTAAGTGCTGAATGTAGGAAGGAGGAGCTCTGACTTCTTCAACCTTGGTTAAGGAGAAAGTGAAGCCGAGTCAAACCTTTAGCTCCGTAGTGAGGACCCATTATTGCGATCCCACGACTGCTTGTCGCATGTATTCAAAACACTACAGCACGAAACCGTCCCTGCTGAATTCATACTGCCTGTTTCCCCTAATGGACTACAACATCTCTGTGTCTCACTGAAAAAAAAACAAAAAACCCTTGACTGTAATTGCTCTTTTGCACCGGTCTCCATGAAAATGGATTTTCAAATGTGAGCCTCCTTCCACTTTCCCATTGCCCCCCCCCCTCCCTCCCTCCCTCCCAATATAATTTGAACCAGAACGTTGTTATAGCTGTGCTTGTTATTCTCCTCATTATATGGTGAAATGGAAAAAACACAAAATCACTTTTTGAGATTCTAGTCAGGAGAACGCTGGATCTCTGGACTGGACCATAACAAGGGGGACCTGGTTCGCATTCTTTGGAATATTCCCAAAAATAATTGAGGTGCCGTATATATACTGCTGCTATTTTATTTATTTTTTTAATCAATACAGTCATGTAGGCTTAAACTACTTGGCTCAATATCTCATAAAAATAATAATATCCCTTCTTCTTTTGTTTTGTTTGTTTCGTACCAATAACCAGATAAATCAAAAGATTGCAGTTTGTTTTCTATGAGCTAACCTTTTCAGAGGGTGTGTGGCAAACAAAATAAAATCAATTCAACACTGGGAACAGTTAAGAGGTCAGCAAAGGTCTAGGACAGAGTAATGATGACCGTTTCATATTAATAATAATATTAAAGTTTACAAAATGACTCAATGCACAAGAGGGCACAGCTTTAGTGGGTTTCTACATCATAAAGGAAGGTTTCATGCAGGAAGAAAGTGACACACATAACAGTCCAGAAAGATTTACATCAGCCGTGACATCTGCTGTTCTGAGGTTCACGAGCCGTAAGGGTGATTTTTACATGAAAACACGGGACAGGCTTAGTGGTGTTACAGGCCTGGGAACAGGACAGGGACGACATTCTCAAGCAACGCATGCACGGGAGCTGAGGAGAGATATAGGACGGGATCACAAGCCCGAGTACGCTGGGAGAGGAAGATGAAGGAAGGACGTGGTCCAATTTTCTCATATATTTTGACTGAACATCTCCAGTTCCAGTATGACTAATGCACAACAGACTTAACTTGGAGTATTTAGAGGGAAAACAAGTGTTAGTATTCCACTCATGTTGGTAACCAACTGTGTCTTCTCACGCAACTGTAACATTCTCCAAGTGCTGCTAATTTTCACAAGATGTGTGTATAAAAAGAGAAACCTGAGAGGAGCAGTCCTAATGTAAGACCATTACGCTCAAATTATCTGTTATTCTTTCATGATTCCATACACTAAACAGTGCTGAGAGCAGTCAGTCAATGGGGCCTGTGTATATTGAACACTTAATGTTGTGAATAATTCATGGGGTGCGGTTAAGTTTGGAGAGGTGCTGTGGAACAAAATGACTAGAGGGCAGGTAATTGTTATCGATTCCCCTGAAGCCTCTCTCCTGTTGAGAGCGGCGTGGAGAGACGGGCTCCGGGACTCTATCAAAACCACAAAATAAGCCCCGTCTCCACTCTGCATGCCTGCTTGCTGGATACCTATAAATTTAACTGCCTTGACAAAGTGCCCAAGGATAGCAGAACCTGTCCAGTCAATCAATATCTGAGCAAACTGGCACAGAGTCAGCGGGCTCCCAGGCTTCCTGGCAGCAGCACTGGGCTATGCTGCTGCCATAATGGCTGATCATCCCTCCTGTCAGCACACTGCCAGCTCATTCTTAAATATTCTATAGGTCAGCTCTTTGAGCAGCAGTGTTTTTGCAGATGGTACAAGTGAAGAGATCATTCCCAAAACATTAACTCCTCTCTCTTGGACAATCATCCATTAACTCTAAAACAGAGGTTCAGTCAATAAATGTGTGGACAACATAATAAACGTATGAATAACTCGTTTGCTGCAGGACCTCTTAATGAAACATCACATGAAGACGAGCTGGATGTGCGTCTTCTCATTAGGCTAACATGGGCCTCCTATCACATCCTTTAGATTCTGAGTAGAGGATGCCCATGGCTGTGAAATAGACATAATCCCCTGAGAATGGCTTTGTCAGATGTGATACCCATGTCCCTCAGTTGGAGAGGAGGGCTGTTGCTGCCTAAATACCTGACAAATCCGGTTGCCACCTGAATACAGGAGTAATCCATCATACACCTCTGATGGATGGAAAGTCTGAAGGTGAAAGGAGTTGTAGTTTTTGGTGGATGTAGTTGACATTAACAATATGGGTGCGGTTGGGAAGAATGCCCGCCACATTACAAAAACAGAGGTCTAATAATGGCTTAAGCAAACATCACGGGGACTCCTTGTGTGTCTTGGCAAGGCGAATCGAAACACGGTTTGGGGGAGTGGCGCTGGAAGTCATGCAAGAACAATTCAGGGATTCATGCAGTCAAGAATAGACAAAACAACACATTTACATCGGATGGATCAGGGAGAGCTAAAATTAAAATGTGGGCTTTTCAGGGAAGGGATATCTGTGTCTTCATCAGAGGGTCTAAAAAGGATGGTTTACCTCACCGACAATCTGTATCAAATTGAAGGGAGGGGATTAAAAGTGAAAATGACCAACCTTCACGCTGATCTGTTTGTGGATGAAGTGATTTGATGAGAGGTGAGCGATGGAATGAGAAGACACAAAGTGGAGAGGAAGACAACACAGTGAAACAGAACAGTGTTTCCGCAGACACAGTGGAGGTTAGTGACACGGTACAGATATAATGCATACGTACAGTAACACGGAGGGAAACTCACTCTGACAAATGATTTAGTATCTTCGTCATTTGGTCTTGCAATTATTAAACTGCATTGACACATCTATTATTTTAAATCAAAATCAAACAAATTAGGTTTAAAACATATAAAGAAATATGACTTTGGTTTGACACACTGTGACATTATTGTGCAGTCAAATCTATTTGATTTCTTATCATTAAGGATAGACTGAAAGCAAATAGATGTGCTCCTGTCCCCACTCTTTTTCTTCATAAAATTGACCTGAATTGATTGTTTTGTAAGTTACCCTCCATGACACACACACACACACACTGAACAGTATGAAGATATTTTGGTTCGAGAAAAGCCAGACTGCAGCACTTTATCCTCTGTGACATATTGACGTTTCACATGGATATATGAAGGAGTGCCGGCAGACAGAAGCTGACATCCCTCCGCCATTGAGGGATAAACACTTGACAAACGAGCGCTCATGCACAATCACAGGACGCTTGTGATTCTGCCCACGTTGATGCCTTCCACCTTTAGAGGAGGGTCACCAAAAGTGACCCACAGCAAACAAGGTGCACACCTGAACACATACACACACACACACACACACACACACACTCTTAATGTATGATAAGTGGAAGGACATAAATAGATGCACAGCCAGGAAAGGAAACCACATCCATGAGCAGACCCCCCCCCCTCCTCCACAGAGAAATATGAGGACACTGTTCTCTGGTGGCTCTAAAATGTCAAGACAAAGGTGTTGACGGTGTTGCTGGCAGTATGTTTGTGTACCTGCAGACAGGAATTGGATCAGGTAGCTACGGTGCGTGGAAAAAAACAGAAACACTTTCGCAGACACGAAACACTAACCCATAACAAGCCGTTTAATGCTAGTCTGACAGGTGTGTTTGTGTGTGGGTATGTGGGCGGGTGTTGGAGGGGGTTGATCGAGAATAACACCACAAATCGTTCTCCCTTGGTGATCTTTTTATGTCACCTTCAAATAGTGGTTATTACGTTACTGAACATTTCAAGACTACAAATGACTCTTCTAACCATGAAGGATTGAATTCTTAGCAGGCGCTGAGTTTAATCACGCGATAGTCTTATTATTTCCTTAAAAGTTCAAAAAATTTAATTGAAAAGCTGTTAATATTAGTAACAAATTGCAATATTTTGAACATCACAAAGGATTGAGAATTGTAACAATGTATTCATTTCTAACAATAATAATAACTTAATTTGTTCGTTATTCAAAGTATCATTTGAACTGCTACACTGTAAAAACAGTTTTCGAATTACATTTTTGCTCCCAAAGCTTCTTATGTTTACATGTTTGAAAGTGTGTTGTAAGTCCCTAAATCTCCCCTCTAGTGTCTGGAAATAAGAAAGAAACAAACATACAACAACAGGAAAGGAAGAGAGGCATGTCAAAGGCCACTTGTCTTGAGTCCCTCAAGTTTTAAACCCAATCAAGCAGCCCTGTGACTGCACCGCCCCGGGTCTCGTCTCCTCATTCTTGCAGCAGTAACAAAGAAGAAGTGAAAACATGACTAGAGCCTTTGTTCTCCATTCCAGACAGGTACGCTTTTAAAAGGTTACGGTTGGTTTGATTTCTATCTCTCCACTAGTGTCGTGAGGCTGGCGGAAAAGTTAGTGTCGGGGCCAACAGGTTGACAGCTACCTGGGTGGTGTTACAGACAAGCTGGGCCTGGGGCCCCTGCTGGCGCCACGCCACACAGCTACTGTAATTACCTCTGTGGGGGAAAAAAGCTGCGTTTGCACCTGTGACAGACATGCCCTGATTAATAGACGAGACTTCCCTTCCTCGCCTTTGCTGTTTGGCTGACTCCCTCCCCCTGTCAGGATTTACTTTAAGATCTAAACCTTCTGAAGCCCACAGTGCTTATTTAATCTGTAAATTTGATGCCGCTGTGGTCCTTGAGGATGGCTTTACATCTGATTCCTGTAATCCAGGAGGATGTTCTGACTGTTGGAAAAAACACTTTTCTTGGATACCGTCTTATAAAAAAATACTGATTTTAAACATTATCAGAGAACATTTTAGTGATTAAAACATATAGTACTCTAAATTCAGTTTAACATTTCCCAAACAGTGGTTTGTAATGTTTTTGCCTTGAGTAGAAGGGAAACACTAATGTACTTATACTATCTTGATGGATTAAAAGAGACAATGGAATCACTCTCATGAAATAGCCTGTATGATCCAGTACTGTATATGCTTTTAACACAATTATGAAGTGATAGCCGAATTATGAAGTGCGTCTCTTTCTTACCCTGACACTTTCACTCTCTCCCTCCCTTCTCCACCCACACTAACAACTGGAGCAGCTATTCTGTTTCATGTACATCAGACATGGTGGCGTTATCCGCAGGGGCTGACCCAGACTACTCTCTCTCCTATACCAGCTCTTTCCAGGAAGGGTACAATGCTGCCCTCGCCCTGCATTAGTCTGCTCACGGAGACACCACAGCAAAAACAAACACTGAAACTCCAGACCCCTCCATGCCTTTAGGAGCTCTGGGTTGTGCGGGGGGGAATAATGGAGTCTTTCGATACAGTCAAAATAAAAAAGAAAGGAGGTCCTGCACGGCTTTCAATGCCTGCAGAGGAAATGGTTTCAATGCAGCTGTTTTCACAGAAGCTGCACCTGGTCGAATTCGCAGACAAATAGGAGGTTGAGGTTAGTTCATCGGTATGAGACAAATGGCAAAGGCAAGGATAATGGTTAGAGAAGTGGTTGAAGAAAAGAAAAATAGAGAAACAGTGGCATAAATGTGGTCATCAAATGAAGGAATTACACGACGATCAAAGACGTTTCCCACAGGTGTTTTCACTTACTCTGCTCACTCAGGTTGAAGGTGGAGAGAATATGCTAAAAATCTATTCTGTAAAATTAGAATTACAGAATAAGAGTAATTCGTCCCACCCTGACAGGTGCAACCAAGCTACTAGGAGAGTGAAAAAGATGGTCATCGCTCGCACACTCCTACATTCTCCTGAGAGGAGTTCTAATCATGCACAGTAACTGAAATCTCCGGTGTGGCTCTACCATTGGATGCATTGTGTCGCAGAAAGAGATATAAAGAAGCACGGTCGCTGGCGAGCGAAACGTTTAGAATTTAGAATGAACATTTAGAATGAAACAGACAAGTGTTTAAAGGGGTTCATGGCTGTTTGTGGTTTGCAAATGCTTGAGACAACAGAAAAGACAGATTCATTCAAGAATTGAGGGAGATATTTACATTTACCTCGTACGTAGAGATTGGCAGGAGAGGAGTAACGGGTTCCAGCGCTGTTCATGGCGACGCATTCATATTTCCCTTGGTCCGACTCATCGCTGTTCTCTATTTGCAGAGCTCCTGCGTAGAGGATTAACAAATTTAGCCGCCTTGACAGTTGTAGAATATAAAATGTAATTTGGCATGAAAGCACAGCAGATATCTGTACAGTGACTCGCTAGAGAGCCTGTAGTCAACTAGTCTCTCCCAGTTCATGTGTAATTAAGTGCCTCAGACATGGGCGCAGTTTTGTCAAGAAAATTAATGCAACAACATAAGCGTTGAGCTGATTTGGCAGTTTTAACAGAATATTAGCCTCGTCGTGTTAAGGAGAAAAAAACATGACTGAGGGTCAATTAAACATCTGAATAACATGTCACAACCATCCAAGTCTGATTAGGCCTTCTGGTTATGAACATATTTGATAAGCCAAAGTGTTTTGTGTCATGGAGGGATATCAACAGACGAGGCTAAGCTAACCTGCAGAATAACCACAGCAAAAGCAGAAGAATGGACAATATCTAATGGTAATATCTGAAGAACTAATCAACCTGCTGCTTAATATCAACAACTGTGCAATAATCTGTGTTTTACACAGTTTTAACCAAAGGATTTGGTTAAATCAATTTAAATGTAACCAGAGTTAACCAAAATGAGAGAGTAAAAGGTAAGCTGATGACGTAACTGTTCGTCTAAGCCATTATTTTTTTGATGACTTACGAAACCGCCAGTAACTTTTCTTCAATCTTTGTTGAGTACGCATTTAGCTGTGAGGTCACAATTGTGTTCTTTCACTACCAACTATTTCACCATGTCTCACCGCAGCCCTCAGGGGAAACGCTCTTTTGCCAGATGGCTCAGATTAGTATTCACAGTTCCAAGAAGATGTAGTCATCAGATAGAAGGCTAACATGTTGCTCTAACAAAGCATGAAAGCCCAGGAGACCTGTCTTTGTGTGATCATTTTGACAACCCACGTCCTTGCAAATGGCTTGACAGATGAGACAAGTTGTAATTGTTAACAGCAAAAAAAAAAACTTACCTGCATCCCACAATTTTAAACATACATGTTTAAAAACAAAACTACTTCTCTCAGCAGTACATGTGTATGTCACAAGCGAGTGATAACATTTATCATGTCTCCAAAACAACATGGTACTAGCATGAAAGGCAGCCAGCCACCATGCAGTTTGAAACTGACAAAAATACTCAGCATAAGATGATGTCAGGATACATTTTGTTTTTCACATCATGCAGTATGAGATGAATGCAACAAACAGGTTCACCGCCAACCTAAGGGGACTCGAAATCGAGACGAGGCCAGAAAAAGAGAAGTGAAACAGGGCGGGGCAGTAACATGTGATTAAATCACCTCAGATCTCATGACAACATATCTCTCCAAGGTGTTTGCTCTGCACGCTGAGCTCATCGCTGTCTGATTCAGCACTGACATGCGCCTGCATACTAATGCCGGTGTCACCAATCTGTCAATCTGCCCGTTCTCCCGTGGGAGGAAACAGTGTGACTACTACAGGAATGTAGAAGGTTACTGCTATGGCAGTTGTCAGAGCTGCGGCACTAAAGCCCCTTCATTATTTCAAACTACTCAAACACTGGTGGAACTTCTGCAAGCTCATTTCGCAGTTTACAAGTGCAGAAGCTACATGAGGCGGCCTCATGGCTGCCTTAATTCCTAAAGAGTTAAACGTCTAATTGAATATGGGTTGTATTAGGAGCCAAGGACGCACAGACAGTGAGACAGACAGCTGGCAAATGCAAATGTATCAGCTTGCCCCAGACGTCCAGCATTTACGCCACTGTTGTCGAATGGAAATCCTGCTTTCACTCAGGGGAAAAGCACACGATTACCATAAAAAGGGGTTTGAAGCTTCCACCTTAACAATCTCAATCAGGCCTCCTGTTCCCATGCTGGGGAGTAATGCTGCATAGGCTGTATGCAAATGAAGCCATTTCAGTTTGCATTGAGGCTGCATAGAGGAGGCAGGTAGATCCTCTCGTGGCCACAGTGGCCTTTAGTTTAAAATGCAACTCCTCGCCCCTTTTTAGCTGAAAAGCCAGACGAGAGGCTGAAGCCAAGAGGTGTTTCTGTGTAAGTGCATGTGTGTGTGTGTGTGTTCATAAATGTGGCTCATTTCTAACAGTCTAGGAGGACTCTTGAAAAAGCCAATTTACAAGATAACACCTTGGACTTGCTTTTGCATTTCCATTCTCCTGACATGTGGGTTGGGGATCATTTGTTTGTTAGGGAGCAGACAGCAGACAGGACATGTTGGGAGGAGACGAGGGGGAGGTGGAAGAGGGTGGGTTGTCTCTGACACCACAGATGAACCTGGTGATGTGGCGTTTTGAAGGGAAATGCAGGGATCTGATGTGAATGTGAGGGAATGGTTGTGGACGTGACATTTTCCAACACACTTTATCATCCTTACCTCTAATTGGTGTACCACCTAGGTGGGAGTAATTTTGATGCAAACAGGGTTGAGAGATCAGTTAGTAATCCACTTATAGTGGGAGAGAAAAACATGGCTTCTGACAGGCCACAGTTAATAAACAAACAAAAAAAACGGATACAGAGTAGAAGCCACTTGAATGCAATTGTGTACTTAATTAATGCTATGAAGCAGGTATATACTGTGGACTGTACTTGTTGTCTGTAAATAACCACAACCTTTGAGAAGGATCCCTTCTTTCAGGCAAACAGTTTGAAATATAATCCTGCTACTTTTGTATTCACTGACAACAGCTACAGCCACATTTTTGTAAAATTAAAATAGTATGCAATTCAAGCAAATTCTTTTATTGAGTGTTCTAATTTAAGATGCCATTACTCTTTGTACAGAGTGCATTTGTGCAGAAAGCAGTTAGTAAAATGGCCAAGAGAAAATTAATGAAAGTCATACACCAAAAAATAGAATGATGCACAGCAGAAAGTATTCAGGTCAGAGGTATTAAATTAAAGTTAGTATCTCTACGGAGTGCATGAGTTGGATGGTGTGAATAGATGGACCAAATGTGTCGTTGTGCTCACTAAATATCTAGCAAGTCTAATGCAATAGGAGGAACTGGGTCTCTGCCTTTTCTGTTAAACTGTGGCAGCAAATTAATGTGCTTTTTTTCCACCATCGCAAAATTGGCCTCATTTCAGGTCATGTGCAGTAAATGTAAATCCTGATACGGCAGCAGATGTCAAGAAAAGGGTGGTGGATGAAAAGAATTGTTAGTCTGAGGGCATTATATATCGGCATATTCTCAGCCACTAGTTCTATTTGTGAGAAAGACAACTAATTAAAAGTTTGTTGCTAGAAGAAATAAATAAATACATTTAAAAATCATATTTTAAGGCACAGTTTTATCCATGTTATAAAAACATCATCGAGTTGTGTTATTATTTAATTTGTGAGAAATCTGTATCTAATTTAGGGTGTTCTTGTTGCAGGGCCGCATTTTTAATATTGCAACATGGAGAGTCCAAGTGAACATGCTCCAGTGACCTCTATTCGGCTTCCACTGGGCAGCTCAAGTGCCAGGCCCTTTTTCTGGAGTAGCTCTCATCTTTAATCTTCCGAGCCTCAGACCTGCAGCCTGGCCTGACACTGTAAGTGAGGCAGATTTAGTAAGGAGTCACAAATCTGCTCAAAAGGCCACTAATCTTTCCACCTTGCACCTTTCCCATCTGATCCAGGTCAGGCAAGCACTGTTTATTTATCAAGTGGACTGCTACTGTGAACAAAGAGCGCCTCATACATATTTTATTTTTTGCAAAGTTTGAATCCATGCTAATGCATCATCGGCTGGCCTCACTGTCACCCAGCTGCATGTTTAAAAGGGGATTAAGGATTATTTAATATGGGGAAAATTCTCTTTCTGAACTTTGGACGGTTACGCATCACTGTCAAAAATTGCGGGAACTTTATTCCGACTTCTGTGTAACTTTATAAGTGGCTGCAGCTGTGAGGAGTAAGAACTCAGCTAACCAGTCAAGGTGACAAACTTTGAGTAAAACTTTCCTGTCCTTTGTGATGAAAGAGAATGTATGAAGTCCTACATGACACCGAAGGCCTTTTGTGTTTTCACATCCTCATGTCTCTTGCCTTTGCTACATTTACATTATCAGTATGTCATGTAGAGTAATACCTTGAAGAAATGAAATCACATAAAATGCAATTGTACCTGAACGAAGCTGTTTAATGCGTCCGTTGCTGCTGCTGATGTCCACAGGAAGCATGTCCTTGAACCATGTTATCTCTGGGTCCGGGTTTCCGCTGGCAGCACACAGCATGGTGGCAGTTCTGGTCTTTTCAACCACCTTCAGCTGGGGACCCATATCGATGGTGGGGAAGCCATGGGGGACTTGGTTCTCTGTAAATTTGCATAAGCAAATTCTTAGTATATTCAAAGCCACACGGAGCAATAAATTAGGTGGGGAAAAAAACAACAGGAGGAAAAACGTGTTTACAAAAACATTCTGACAGAGTATAGAGCTCCCAATTGCTGCGAGAGGCATTGAGTGCATCAAAGCTGTTGAGCTGGCAAGGAAAGAGAAGAGAATGAAAGAGGGCAAATACATTTCAGGTGTTACAGGCCAAACCGTAATCAGAAAGAACACATGCACACACACACACACAATTCGTGCAAGAGCAGAATATACTACAGCGGAATTGAAAATCTGGTATGATTTGGATTTCAAATTTGGTTGAGTAGAAATAGCTCTGATTGATTATCATAGCAGGCGTATTACCCGGCATAGGGAGTCTCAGGTTTAGACAGAGGAAGGATTGCAATCTGTCTTTGGGCACCCATGCATAAATGATCCGCCTTAGGCTTAGCAAGCTAAACAAACCTATTTGAATAATCCAACTCATCATAATGAATGTAACAGCATATCCATGACAACACCTAAAGTAAAATCCTTAAAGCACAATTTGTTCCTCTAAGGTGAAAGGCTGTTCTCAAATATATACTGACGTCGCATCATAGGATTAACAAAATAAGAACAATAAACGTATCCACGTTTTGTGTCTTTGATGAAATATTAAACTGTAACTGGCATGGCCTAATTGTGCTGCAGATCCTGAATCAGACCCACTTCCACCTGCCCTCCTAATAAACCCTAATTTAACCTCTGGACAGCGTTAATAAAGAGGAAACACGATGGCCCACGAGAGGTCTTATTATCAGCTTGCTCTTAAACTTGTAATCTCTTTTATCTTTTCCCCTCATATGTAGATGTCTCCCTAGGGCCAAAGTGCTAAAATGGAATCCTTCCAACAGCGCTAATGATTGTTACTCTCGTCTTTGGTTCACCATGAGAAGATATCTAACAGCAGGTTAACACTAAGCAAACGATTGTTGGTCTGCAGGGATGAAAATGAATACCAGACAAGAGATTTGGCTTTATAGGGAAGTTGAGGACATAGTGTCCAGAACAGGATCACCGTGTCACAAAGTAAAAGTGAATGGTGCACTAAAAAATAAACTAATTATTACAATGTGCTCCAGAGAATTTGTGTTATGATAGGTGAGGAGAACAAAAACAAGGCGTCTTGGCGCACGGTATTTAATCTCAAACTACTGCCCCGGACTGGTCAACCATGTAAGACTGTGATTGCAAAAGTGTGCATGTACGACTGAGAGAGAGAGAGAGAGCGAGAGAGAGAGAGAGAGAGAGAAAGAGACAGAGACAGAGAGCATTTTCTGCAAACTTCCCTAATTAATTAAGACATGAACAGTTTATTGTTCACTCTAGACTCAGACACGTAACAAATACCTTGTGTTACACTGTCCACTGTGAGCTGTGTGACAATAGGTACAAGGTTGTCTCATATCAGTCATCAGCTGTGACAAGAACAATACGCAGTACAATCCCTCTTTGTAGGAATACCCAAACTATAGGCATGCGGTGGCAAGAAGTGATTCTCCAAATGCACCGTTGAACTACATTTACTCCACTCAAAGTATTATTGGCGCAATTGGTCGACCCTTTTAAGCAGACATTAATAACATGGGCATATGTTTTGATTGTCTCTAAGATGACATTAGCAAGAAGGCCGTCTAAGTTAAGATGGAGCCGAAGGGAGGCACTGAATAGGATTTTTCCACTTCACTTAGCTTGTCTGTGTCAGAAATCCATATGTAAACTTATATTGCCGGAGCATGAATAGGTGCATGGGTGTTGTACTTTATTCTGATCCCCGGAAGAGCAGTTGTTCCTGCTTTCACCCTCGTGTTTGGCTTGTAGCCTGGATCGTCTCAAATTCAGATGTAATTGACAGATCTCTGCATGGCCTCTGCTCTTTGTGGTGAGGCTTACTTCCTGTCTAACGATAGAGGATTTGTTCTCAGACATCCCAACCGAAATCGGGATACCTCTACAAAACAGACAACTACAGCACATTGAAATAATACTGTACAATTTGTCATTGCATGAATACCGGTAACAGTAGCACCCGGTGTTCCTTTGTGGTTTGCTCTCTCTAACCTTCAGAGAGACAGAGAGGGGAAAAGGTAGGGGAGGGATGTACATTTGTAGATACGCAGCATGAAGCTGAAGCTGCAGTCATTTTCTAAATGAGGGTTTATTTAGAAGAAACAAACATTTAAAATGGACAGTTTGGTGGACAAAGATGGACTAAATAATACTCATTTGCTATTGTCCTTGCCTCCTTACAGAGGCTGCCTGCCTGTTAGCTACAGAGTTGAATTTAAAATCTTGATGTGTGTTCATAAGGTATTAAATGTCTTTTAAATGTCTGACCCGAGATCCAGGACTAGGTGTTATAGGAACAGGGCCTTCTCTATCACTGCCCCAAAACTAAGAAATTCTCTTCCGCCCACAATCCGAGTCGAGAGTCACTTTCACTCATCAGCTTTTAACTGGCTAAATGAACATTGCTCCATAAGACTCTGTCGGTCTGTGTTGTCATTATGGGCTCTGTGTAACCTTGTGACTTCACTACACTCAATATACTCATGTATACATTTGTAAATGCATCGATTGAGAGTAGTTGTGTGGTAACGTATTAAAAATCTCAATAGATTTCCGGTTGTTGGTTGATCTTTAATCAAGCATGGTGATGTCTGGTCGACAGACTTCAATACACTGATTCCAAATGTCCGTGTGTTCCTATTGTACATGTAACACATGGTTGGGCCCCCCCGAAATCCCTCCACCACTCAGCCAGAAGATGATGAAGCTTCCCTCTAGGTCGAGTACAACGTAACTATATGGTGGAAACCAATCGATTCAATGAGGCATGACACTGGTCCTGTCAATCACACCAAGCAGTTCCCCTAGGGATAGTACTGAGGAGGATTGAGAAGACTGTCATATCATATTTTAAGGTGAACTTCCAAAGATTTGTTCTATTTCATCCAAAATATACCTGCAGCAACTTCAAGATTTGTAAAATTTCCCACAGAAAGAAGTGTCTTGCCATACCAGGGAGTAAAGCTAAAAATGGTACGGATGGACGTGTGCACGTACGTGCAGACGGACGGCGGACAACATATTGCCTTCAGGGAGGCTTAGAAATTCCAATGTCAACTCCATTATTCATTCTGCTTGTATGCAAACCTAACAAGTGGAAAGTACGCAGTGTTTCCCATACATTGATGAAAAAAACAAAAGAAAACCCTGTTATCCAAATCATTGTACTGCTGCTGATATTATATATTGTAGTAGTCCAATCTGTCTTAGAGCAGCAGTATTCATTGTGATGCAGTTGTTGGATTTGTTGGAATGAGAGAGGCCAGAGGCTGATATGCGTCAGATGTAAATCCAGGTACGCATGAACTGGTTCCGTCATGATGTGAAAAACAAGGAACTTTGTTTCTTCAACAGTTGTTTATCACGCACAGAGGCGTACTGCAAATGGAGCAGCTCAGCAGATGAACTTGTTTACAGTGGTTATAGCAGTACGGTGGGAAGGAGGGCAGGAGGGGAAGGTTTTCTGTGGTTTTCTGGAGCATACTCAATTAGGATAGCAGTGGGGGCCTTGCCTATACACAAAAGGCATTGGGAAAGATTAGCAATATCATTTGTAAAGAGAAAATTACAAATACGGTAATTAGTGAAATTAAGAAAACATGATGCAGTAATCATGAACTACTGTGTAAGGAGGTGTGCCTCTGCTGCAGTAACCGCCACAGGCAGGTGAGGTAAGATTCAGATGACAGAGGAGGGAGGAAATAAAGTAAAGAGAGGGGAGCGGGGGAGAAAAGACAGGGGGCAGGGGGGAGGGGTGCATGCCAACCTCCTGCCAGCTCCAATTACAAGTGTGAGTGGAGCGTGGCAGCTAGGGCGATGGGTCTAATCAGAGCCCTGCTGAAAGAGACCCGTCCCTGTCCTCCCGTCCCACTGGGAGGCTGCTGGAGCTCAATCCCACACTAACATCAGCTAGCGTTTTTCCCTCAACCCAAACATACTCATCTCAATGGGGGGAAACACTCCAGACACCCCAGTTCCTCCTTAACAGGGGAGTCCTGACACAGTGGCACAGGATACAACAGTGCTGCTCCTGCCTCATTTCCTTTTCAGTATGTCCTAGTCTCCTTCCTACTTACACTCTCATGTGCTGCTATGAATGTTTTAAGGGAGAGTTACACCAGACTAAAGTCCCTTCAGAAAACATGCAGTCATGAAACATACGGCGAGGAGTAGTCATGCAAAAACACTGCTACAACATGGAACAGGAGTTGTGCACATACTTGCAAGCTGCCCAAACCACCGTGCCTCATTCTGTATCAATAATTAATCTAATTCAGCAACGTGCGCCATCAAAACTGAAGGTGATAGAGCGAGCCTTTCTTAAGTTCCTCAGCTTATACGTCTGCGCTGATCTCAATTCGAGCAAGAAAATAAAAGGCCTTATGATCTCCACGTGTGCCTTTTGCCAAGTGATGGATGACAACAATTAAAGGTGATGTCTCCTTTGATGGTGCGAACCAAAGGACCACAGTGACAGCAACACAGCCACTTGCCTCATGAAATATTACTGCTCTAAAATCTACCCTTTCAAACATACATCAGTGCACTGTCTTTATAGGTAGAAAAAAGGGCTTCTATGTCGGCCATTTGGGTATTTTCAATTGCCTGTGTGTGGGAATGTGTAGCATTAAGCTCTTAACTGATGGCTACTGTAAATGTTTGAAAGAGGTTATATTTGTTGGAAAACTACTAAGATTACAGTCTCAGTGTTTCCTGTGTTTACACGATAAAGCCCTTTTTATTCACCTTTCTGCTAGCCCAACCTGTGAGGAAAAGTAAATATAGTACAATAAGTGTTGTCTGCGTCTCAGCTGGTCTTGAGTCAACATGGCAGTGAAAAGCAGACGAGCCAGAGTGCAGAAACAAAGCACAT